TATGGTCAAAGCAGTTCGCTATAATGAACCTTTAATTTATAATTTGTTATATTTAACCAATGCACCCGCTATCCGGAGCGATCCTGTCCAGCTTCCGGTACAGCACGGGGTTGAGACCGCTAACGAGTTATGACATGTTTATCGTGATCAAACTTTTGTACATTAGGTGTTCAAGTATTCGCTACTTTGTGAAGGAAGAGAGAAGGAACATTTTTCTTATAAAGAATCGTCATATTATAACTCTAATTACTAAACTATATCGAAAATACTTTTACTGCTACTACTGGGGTAGGCTTGTACCTCTCTTAGCTCTCGTCTTTTTTCGAGCTCTCGCTTCTCTTGTACCTCTCTATGCTCTTGCTTTTCTTCGAAATTTGTATTGTTAAGAGATGATCCAGGTACCCTAATAGACGGTTGATACTTCGCTTCCACAAACCTAATGAATCTGTCCATGCGTGTAATGTTAACCAGCCTCGACCGGATCTTGCTAACGAAATCCCCATCTCCACACGCTGTATGGATCAATTAGTAATTTGCGAGTCGCGTGCGCTTCGAGACCACTCATGTTAGTTGCTTACCAACAACAATAGTTTCCCCCGGTAGATCTGACTCGGTTCGGATGGCAGGAATTATCATGTCCTCAAACGGAAATCTTTTTGGTGCAGGATATATATTTGCCCAGTGCTGTGATTGTTCAAATAATACCTCGGAGTCCTCAGAGTAGGGAGATGGATAGTAACACCACACCACGAAAAGTGACTAGTACGATTAGCAAGCTTTATGTAGAGTAAAGATATTGAGTGAAACCCACGTAGTCTGGGTCTGAATCCTTCAAAATCTGAAGATATGTCGAGGCCCAATCCCCTTGTGAGTTGTGATCCAGGCGCCAAAATATGTTAATCGTCCTTGTTGCATCGTTGTGAAACTGAGAGGAAGAGAGCTTCTGGCGGTTGTCATCGATGGCTCGCTTCTGCTGTATTAACCTTTTTTTTGTTTCGTCCAATACCTTCCTCTCTTCCCGAAGCGAACGTTCTTCTGCTTTGATTTCGCGCTTGAATCTGTTAAGCCGTCTGGAGATACCCCCTGACGACTTGACGGACTTGCGCCAGTCTTCCCGTTTTTGGCTGAGTTCGGCCTCATCTAAGTTCAGTTGTTCGTCTCTGAATTTGAACCTCTGCTCGGACTCTTCCAATTGATCTTGCATTTTTGGTAGGTCCTGCATCAATTTTGTGATACCATTGTCATGCGCTCTACGCACTGCAAGATGGTGGGCCATCGGGAGGACACTCAAAATCCCGAGGCCTTTGGCAACCAGACAGACGTTTTCTATACTTTCTAAACGTAGGTCCTGACCATACGGCCCCTCAAGAAGCAGGGTAGAGCTAGGTTTAAGCCTTCGCAGACAGCGAAGGTGTCGGCCGCGGTGGGGCATGATGAATGACACGGATCGAGATGCTGGATTTAAAGGCCTATACCATACAGCCATCATGAGGTGGCTCGTGATTATTTGGTGTTTCCAGCAGGAACCAGGGAAATAGACATAGAAGTAAGCCCCAGGGAAAAGGCGCAACGGATGTTCTGTTTTCACTTTCATGACTGTAGCGTCTTTAAAAGGCCTTATCCCGATAACTTTAACGGCTCTGCCGCGGTATAACACAATAGCCAGCCTATAGAGAGTGGATAAAATCCATGTTCCCAGAGCAGTCAGTGACAAGACTTTGCCTAGTGTGGAATTTAACAGAAAAGAATGCCAGACTAGTCCCACAAGGCTCGTGGTAGCGAGAAATATATGTATCGGGTGGAACAGCTCCCCTTGGTATCTGCGGAGAGTGTAAATAGTAGTTGCGAGGAGAATTGTGATTGCAAGGAATATCTACACATTTTTGTGAGTAAAGGAGGACCTACCTTGAACATATTACTTACAAGGGACCCAGTTATCACTATTGTGCCGAGACGTGGTCGGAGTGTAATAACAATGATCGCATGAAGCATCGCCTCCGCGGCAGCTATGCGCCCTATCCAGTGATGTGCTGAGTAATAAGACTGGATTGATATTTCCAGGAAGTCAGCACCGGGGTTCGTTCGTCCGCCAAGAAACAGAACAACCATGTTTATGATAGCTACTTTCGCCGCCCTCTGTTCCAGTTCGCGTGCATCCTGGGTGTAGATTGCTAGTGCAATACAATTGCCGGTAATGTATAAAAGCAGGCATAATGTTTTAAGACGAATCTGGATAAGAACTGGATACTGAAGATACCGAGTTATTAGGAAGGCTAAGCGCCGCGAGCCGAATCGTAGAGTTAGGAGAAGCCATGAGCGGCAGAGGCCTATGAGGGCCCATATACCGAGGAAAAATATTAGATAGTAAAATGAAACGTCTGTCTTGAAAACTTCCATCTTTGAGTAGAACCGCGCCTTGGTTTTGCTGGAAGGGAGAGTGTATTTCTTAATTAGTGCATCTCTTGGACATAGAAATGTCTCACCTTAACAAAAAGTCTCTCCTTCATCGGAATGTGACAAGACTAAGTTTGGTTAAGTTTACATATTTAAATAATAGCAGTCTAAATACTAAATTAAACACATTGGATCTCTAGGAGTTATCTAATCTCAGCTGAAGTGTGCACTGCCACCAGGTTGGGGCCGGACACCGGGTCAGTGGCTAGTTGGGTGGCCCCCTAACCCGCCAAGTCTGTTCTAAAAATATAGAATGAGACAGTCAGGTTTAACTTTGAAACAAAAAGATAGATTGTTATAAATTGTCCCGAAGTCCCACTTAGCGAGGTTGATCTTTCAAAGCAATATCTATCCTATTACTCAATCTCATCTTCTTAAGCACTTTTCCAGCCCAGCAAAGGAGCAAAGAACTTATCGATAAAATTCTATTTTTTCATTCTTATAAATCTTTCAACATGCCTCGTGGTACAGGGTGCAACAAAGACTACAAGAGAGGCGTGCAAAATCGACAAAAAGGCATTTTCAAAAAGTCTAATGCTTATGCTAGATTCTATCAAGAGTATCAAGTTGGAGTTATTATTCGGCATAAAGGTGGCAAGATAACAGGTTATCAATCAGAGCCTGGATTTCTCAAATCCGTTACCTTTTCTATAGACGAAGAGGATTTCTTCAGCCCGGATGACTTCGACACCGTCAAAGACAGACAAGCTTCAGGACCCAGCTCAGGTAGCTCCTCGCCATCAAGCCATGTCACAAGCCCTCCGGTGGATGAAAATGCCTCTGTCAATTCTGATTCAGTCTACGTTGATTGTGAGCCTCAATCAATATCTGAATTTCCTGCCACCCCGCCGATGTTGAACGTGCTGGACTCGGATGCCCCACAAGTGGAGGAACTCGCACAAGGACTAGCAACAATGACAGATGCAGCCTCGGTTATAAGTCCCCAGCTCCTCTCCGGAAATACTAGTAGAGGGAGGCTGCGCTCCGTTTCATCGCCTGAGAGAAGCTCCTCAGGCGGTGCGAAGCCGTTGAGATCAGTTTCACCACCTAAGCGGATGGCGCTGCTAGCTTTGGCACGCAGGCTGACTGAGGGTTGACTTCCCAAGGGGTTCCACCTGAGATAGTGAGATGAGAAACTTAGATTGTTTACTATAGCTCTATATTTATTATTATAATATACCTATTATATATTAAGAGTCTTTAGTATTTAAAATATAGACTAAGGATATATAATGTTATATCTATATGTATATATATGGGTTGGTTAGTGATCGTCTGCTATTTATTATAGATCTGCTTACTGAAGGTGTGCTAGACTAGGCTAGCTATATATGTGCTATCTAGTTACCTAAGGAATAGTATAGAAGGAGTAGTAAGGCTTTAATCTAGTGTTGTGGAAGATGTGTAGGGGCCTACTGGCTAGTTCCTGCGTGTGTTCTGCCCATGGCCCTGACAACCCGGAGTCTATAGAGGTAACATAAAACTACAGCAATTATAAAGGAAATTAGGAGAACACCTAATGTTATCCATGCCGTCGGCGACCAAGTTCCATTTCTAGCTGTATAAATATTAAGAAATACAGCTAAGATACCGCTTGCACAGTTTGAAGCGGCAGGACTAGAGAAGACTTGCTGTTAGTTCTTTAGTACCATTTATTTAAATTCACCGTTCTTACATAAAAATATGGCTGAGTAACCAAACGTAGTTCGACTTGAATATTGACCAAAGTGCAACCAGAAAGGCGATTCCAATAACGTAACATGTAGCGGCTACGGGCAAGATTTTCGCGTTTTGCACCAAAGTCTGAACTACTTGTCCTTCCCGTGAGCCTTCTAGTGCCTTGCTTCGTGTAAGGGTAGCAAACGTCCCAGGGAGGATTACAAAACCAGCGAGGACAACCCATGAGGCAGCGGCAGCGGCAAAGGTATATTTCGTAGGTGCTTGTGCCGCCTCAAGAACCATACGACGGTATGTGCGCTCCATGGATAAGACTTAAGGGGTATCAGGCTGTCTTTCATGTAATTTAAGTCAAGTATGATATAGGACAGCCTAAAAAGCTTGCACCTGTGTGGATAAAATAGAAGATTAGCTTGCAGGGCATGTAGTTGCCTTAAAAGCTGAATTGTTAAACTGAAGCTCGCTATTAATAACTTATAAACCTTTTATTTTAAAATTTAGCTTCGGGTAAACAATCATTCATCCCTTTCTTTATGATATTATACCCTATTCCTGCTAGCTAGGTCTACCTTGTATCTTAAGCTAGGCAGTTTGATAGCCTCAAATGCGAGGCTTTACTAAGGAAAAGGATGTGCTCACGTCTTGTAAACTTTGTAAGGCCAGGGTGTGTTTTGACAATGTCACAGCGTCCCGTGACATGAAACCTCGGGCACACGATGAAATGTTGCGCCCAAGTCCGTTTTGATGGACTTCTTTCGAATTATGAGCGCTGAAGCTAAACCCAGAACAACCACATGAAGGCTCGTGAGTCACATAAAGTAGTCATACTGCGGATCGCCTGCTGGCACGTAACCAAAATGTATGAGATACGGGGACATCAATTGAGTGTAGATTGCGTGCGCATCATAACCTAGAATACATAGCACAATTCACCATTTCATTTCCAGCTCAACTAAACTTCCTCCACGGCCAGCTCGATGTAGGCAAAGCAGGACAGGCGGTGCGAAATCTGTGTGGTGACCTCCGTCGCTAAAGTTCCCGTAGGGAGAAGTATACGGGAACATTTCTTTTGGGTCTGTGCGACGTTGTGAAGAACGAAAAGTTTTCAGAGACATTCAAAGTGCCCACTGCCGCTGTGTCTGGCTTCGGTGCGTCCGCCACGCAGCCGGAAACTTGCTCGGATGGCAATTCTTGGCCGCTGTCTGTAGAAATCATCCAGGGGATAGCACCATATGGCTCAGTCTCAGAGGGCGAGTCGCCTTTGCCGCACTGGAACATAGCCTCATCAAAGGCTTGGTGGAGATCTGTGCCGACGGCAGGCGGCAAAATTCCCTCTGAACGGGTTGGCGTCTGAAGCATCGGCTCTCCATAGTCGGTATTTTCGGCAAAAGTATTATCGCTACTCAGAATGTTGGCGGGATAGAGATCGTCATAGACATCATTAAAGGCCAAAGGCTGTGCTCTGCTAGTAGAGTGCGATGCGCCGATGTCGTTCGACTTTTCCAGGAAGTCATCGTCGGAAGACAAGCTTTCTGAGAGGATATTTCCCAGGCCAGGCATGACTCCATCCTCAAATAGCGTATCGCTATCCGATGCTTTAGTCATATCACCGGCGTCGAATGGGTCATCGCTATCCTCTGCAAATTCATCGCCGCACTGAGATGTCTCATCGGAGCCGTCCCAGGTCTGGATCGATTCCACAACCCTACGCGAGCGCCGTTCCGCCAAATGAGTGATTGCTTGAGGGGCGTCGGAAGGAGAGCCGCATTGAGAGCCGGGTTCCTTAGCAGCATTCTGCCTCAGACGGAGCCGCTCCTTGTAGGCCCTCTGCTGTATGCGTCGCCTTTCTAATCTCTTCTCCTTCTCAGACGGAGTGATCGGACGACGGCTTGTCTTTCCCCAGCTTGATTTGACCCTCGACTCCTTTGGAATGTGAAGCAGTTCGGGATCCGCATCGTCCTGGGACATCTTGACGCCTCTTATGCTGTCAAAGGCATGTATCACCCGTGAATGTTGTAGCCATTCCTCCACGCCGTTGACCCAGATAATGTCAGAGTTGCCTTGGCGATGGCATTCGGGGCAGGGGAGTGGTGCCGAGAGATCCTTTCCTATGTGCCGATTGTGAAAATGCCGCGAGAAACCACTGCCGGTGCAGAAATGTGCATTGCAAATCAGGCAGCGAGCCAGTTCTTTGGGCAGGTGATTGCGGGCCCTGTGCGACGTAATCTGGGTGGCCCTTTCCGCATCCATGGTGGGTGCAAAGCCTTTGCCATGGCACATCTCAACGTGGATGCTCCACTCGAGAACACTTCCAATCAAAGCGGCTGGCCGGATTCCCAGCCTCAAGCATTCCGGACATTCGAATTGGAGGCCGAATGTGACTCCGTGATTCTGCATGACGTGCCTTGTCAGGCTGTTACGGCGTGTGAAGCTTTGCTCACAGCCGAGCAGGCAGTGGGTCGGGTTGCCGTTCGTGAAAGGCTCCGGCCGTACGTCACGGACAGTCTTGTCACCATCCTGATCACCACTGCCCATACCTTCCGTGGACAGTGCTCCAACAAGGTACTCAACGCTGGCAGGCCGCAAAGTCAAGTAGGCGCAGATTACCTCCACATAGTAGTGCTGTCGTTTCTCTCCGCCTAGCTCCGGTTGCTCTAGAAATTTGCCAATCGCTCTAGATGCGCCAAGCGAGCAGGACTTGGTCTCAGGGATAACCTCCTGAGATTCGGATGCAAGCTCTGCTGCAGAGCGTCCAGAAGCGCGTAGGCGGTCGACTTGGGTGAAATACTCCTCACGCCTCCTCTTCACAATAACTTTTTTAGCCCTGTTGAGGTGGGCGTACACCCGCGCGCGGGCTCTCTTCACACCTGGCGAATTGCTTGAGGCTATTTTTCGGACCTGATCATAAGCAGCCTGAAGGTCGCGGAAGACCTGTCCTTGTTTCACCTTTTCGATGTCCTCGTGCGTTGGGTAGAGCGGTGCATTCGGATCGCTCTTCAGACTGGCGCGGCGGAGCATCTCAAATATTTCATCACTATTCTCGGCCGTACCACTGGCAGCAAAATTGGTCTTGAGGAGGTCGATTTTCAGGTGCCGAGGGAGGTAACTGCACTCGTAAACCCGATCTGTGTTTGACATGACATAATTTCGAATTGCGTTCGAATGGTGCTCTGGGATTATGCGTTAGTACCCGCCGCCTGCGCCAGGGTGGTTGTAGTTGTGATTACGACTCACCGTCTATGCGACCGCCCGTCCCCACTCGGATGGAGTAAAGACGAACCTGGTCACGGGCTCCGCTTACAAGCCAAGCTCGATTCCAGATCTCCACGAATTGGTTGTAATTTATTGGAAAGATTGGTCTCTCCAGCATCTCTGTTTTCCATCGCAATGGAACCCAATGGGTACCGTCAAAATTGGGACGATTCAGCACTTCTTCGAATGACTGGTACCCTGCGTCGAACGCTTGATCGGCAAGCGCCCGTGCTACAATCAGACTGACCACGCAAATTCTCTTTTCGGGGACAAAGGTCGCGGAGAAGTCGACGCTGGAATGACTCAGTCAGCAGAGAGATAGATCACAAACGGAAAAGTGATGACCAACAATTCGGCCTGGCCTTTGGAACATGTGCCAGTTCTCAACTTGTTCTGATTGACTTTGGTTTTCGCAGTAAGGGCACGACCGTTAGAAGTATTCATCATCTCCACATCAATGTCCTTGTACTTCAGACACTCTATAGCTCCAGGCCGAAAGCCGCCTAGAGCCCCAATCAAGATGGTCGAGTGGAAGGCCACGCGGAGCCGCTCATCTCTATCGATGTCCCGCGGGTTGTTCCAGATCGTGTTGATCACCATCATGATATCATCAGGTGTGGCCTCCTTCTTTTCAAAGGTTTGGTGAAGCGTGAGATTTAGCTTATCAGCCAGAGTATCCTGAATCCACTTTGAGGAATGTGTCAGCTGATCCCCACTGTACAGATTTTAATTAACCATTTGCACACTGACCTTGCGAATCCTAGATACTGCACCGGCGTACCCAGCGGTGGGCTTCCTGCCAGAATTACTCAGCACCCACTTGGTCCTGTTCTTAGGGTCTTGATCCCGCTTCTCCTGCAAGACTGTGGAGTTTGCCTCGCCAATAAGGGTATCCCAGAACTGAACGACGGACTTCGCAGACGTAATGGAGCGCACTTCCTCCAAGTCCATGTGTTCTCCGGTAAGGACCACCCGCTTTTTAGCATTCGTGACATAGTCCTCGAGGAAGTTCATGCAATGCACCTCGGCTTCGGTGTCGTCTAGACAGAGACCATACCAGATCTGCCTGTGATCAATATGCGCTGTCCTCTTGAAATAGCTATACAAGGCCACCTCAGTCAGCAGGGCATAGATCGACATTGAGCACATGATTGCTTTTGTCGAGAGGGAACAGGGATGACTGACTCTGCACATTCTTCGAGTGCACGCCGGCGTGCTGCAGCGGTCTTTGCGACGGTCTTTTTACTGAACTCGTCCTTGCGGGGCTCGCGGTTCTTGTTGATCCTTGCTATTTCTTCCAACCTATGCTTTTGGATTGGCAGGTGATCGCCCTCCAAGGCATAATTGATTCCCGCCAACGAGCTAGCAGATGCAGCCAGACCGCCACTCATGGTGGAAGGAACAGTCAAAATGGTTGGAAAGGGACAGTCAAGAAGTGATGCACTGCGTTGGCGACGTGGATATTTTCAAAAGATCGGAGGAAAAGATCATAGTGCGCCAGGAATTACATGGCGGAGGTGGTCGCTTCGAGGGACACTGTCGCCTACTTATACCTGAACTCACACACGAGGGACGTGACGGACGAGTTAGTCCGCGCGTGCAGCGCTCACAGTGATGTGAAGGAATACTTGCATGTTGGTAAACTCCTTCCTTGGACCGGTACCTAGGGTAGGCGCCGAAACGACACTGGACCATGTCATCAACAGATGACACTATTGGCTAGGAATAGGTGGTGGGCATGCAGGTTGTACATAGAAAGCATGAAATGTTGCCATCCCACAAATCTATTGGCACAAGGCTGCCACAGCCTACAGGACTCTTGACGATATGAGGCGCGGACGGGGGTAGCAGGTTGCGCACCTAACATGACGAGGTTGAAAATTAACATTGAGCATTTGGAGAACGAGATTTGGGCACCAGGGGATCAGGGATCAGGCTCCAACGGTCTCGGTCATCAGGCTTGGGCTCAAGCTTAACCGAATGTAACCCTCCCTGGGCTTGGCTGGGTGTGTTCCTAGACACGGCCATGACTTAGGCCGATATTCTTAGGCAGTGTCCAGGGTTGGGCGTTGTGCGCGCCAAACGGCCATGAACCGGTACTCATTGCTCCGTTTTGCGTCACCCTCAACCCTCTGAACTCAGCATCATGAACTTCATGACAGAGTCATCAATGAAATGTATTATACCTTTAACCATATTTCACATGTCTGATCGCTGGATTAGTAGTTGGGTCGGTGACGACCAGCGAATACCCGGTGCTGTATGTTTTTGTCATTTTTGTGGGCGCTGCCCAGGTGAAGGTGGAGCCATGGTGGAGCCAGTCACAGCGCCTCCCGAGGTCATTGTACGAGGCCGTTTGTGTGCAGCTTGTACCAGTAGGTGGGAAGTCGCGAAGGTGAGGTAAAATGAAGCCGGGGTGAAGTCTCGGGGTGTAGATTTTCTCTTATGTCTTCTCTTTGCAATCCACGGGTTGCTCTGTTTTGATGTCGTACGCTGTGGTTCCTCGGCCAGCTCAGCCAGCTTGTGGTGGGCCTGGAACCCCGCTGAAGGATGCAGTTGTGTGCTGTTCAGTTTCTAAAATCTGACACTCCATAATGTGAGCTAACAAATATCAAGTTTTGATATGTGGTCCAGCCAGGAAATGGAAGGACATAAGACAACCATGCCCGCACGTGTCTATCACATGTGCACCACGCTTCAGCTGCTCTTCGGTTCGGGCGGTGCTGATTTGGGCGACTCTCTCAGTGGTTGCGGTCCGAAAAGGAGTGTTTTGTGTCATGGGCTCATCTCAAAAGTATTTGAATTAATTGTTTGTGTCGGCCCCTCTCGACAGACGTCGTCGAAGGACGTCCCAAGAGATTGCCCAAATGGGGTAAGCGTGGGCCTGCGGCTCCGACGAAGGGGTTTCCTGATGAGGAGTCGGACTGTCAGACTGTCGGGGAAACAGAGTGGGCCTCGGATGGTGGGGAAGCAACAGGGATCTGACCAGTCCAATGGAGTGGAAGAGTGGGTCTTGAAGTAGATCTGGAGAAGTGTACCGAGGCATGTCCACGTCCCCCGCGTTCTGAACCTTAAAGGGCCCTCGGATGCCACGACTCCAACTCCAACTCATATAGGCTACTCTCATCGTAGGGAATAAATGGGATCGGATCGCCGGAACTGAACTGACTTAAATTGCTTTTCAGGGTGCAAAACACATTTATCATTGTCTTTACCGTCACATAGCAGACACGATAGGTCACCACACACACACACCACAGCTGTGCCGTTGTCTCTCCCAACTTTGAATCGACGGGCACTTTGGCCTCCAACATTGAAGGTCACCACTCGCCACATCCAAAATGGCCCCCAAACAGAAGCAGCCATGCTATGTCCTCGGCGTGGGCATGACCAAGTTCATCAAGCCGCGGGGCAAGGTGGACTACACCGAGCTCGGGTTTGAGGCCGGCGTCAAGGCCATGCTGGACGCAAAGATCAACTACGACGACGTCGAGCAGGGCATCGCGTGCTACTGCTACGGAGACTCGACGTCTGGCCAGCGCGTCTTCTACCAGTTCGGCATGACCCAGATCCCCATCTTCAACGTAAACAACAACTGCTCAACAGGATCGACCGGGCTGGCCATTGGGAGGCAGTACATCTCGAGCGGTGCTGCCGACTGCGTGCTGGTGGTCGGCTTCGAGAAGATGATGCCCGGCAGCCTGCAGACCTTCTTCAACGACCGCGAGAATCCCACCGGCACCTCGGGCCTGATGATGGCAGAGACCCGTGGCTTCACCAATGCCCCCGGTGCCGCCCAGATGTTTGGCAATGCCGGCCGTGAATACATGGAGAAGTGAGCCTAGCCTTCCCTGGTGCTGCCGAGCGTGCAGACAAACGACCATCGATATTAACTCTGAACAACAGGTACGGCGCAACGGCCGCTGACTTTGCTGAGATCGGCCGCATCAACCACGCCCACAGCGTGAACAACCCCTACTCGCAGTTCCAGGACGTCTACACGCTCGAGCAGATCGAGAAGGCGCCCATGATCTTCGAGCCCCTGACCAAGCTGCAGTGCTGCCCCACGTCGGACGGCGGCGCCGCGGCGGTGCTGGTGTCGCAGGCCTTCCTGGACGCCCGGCCGCACCTCAAGGAGCAGGCCGTCCAGATCGCAGGCCAGTGCATGGCCACCGACGCCCCCTCGCTCTTCTCCAAGAGCTCCATCGACCTGATGGGCCGCGAGATGACCGAGTACGCCGCCCGCACCGCCATGGCCGAGGCCGGCGTCAAGCCCTCCGACTTCAGCGTGTGCGAGCTGCACGACTGCTTCAGCGCCAACGAGATGATCACCCTCGACTTCCTGGGCCTGTCGGAGCCGGGCAAGGCCCACGAGCTCGTCCGCTCGGGCGGCATCACCTACGGCGGCAAGGTCGTCGTCAACCCCTCCGGCGGGCTCATCTCCAAGGGCCACCCGCTCGGCGCCACGGGCATCGCTCAGTGCGCCGAGCTGGTCTGGCACCTGCGCGGCTGGGCAAACAACCGCGAGGTTGCCGGCACCAAGTACTGCCTGCAGCACAACCTCGGCCTCGGCGGCGCCGTTGTCGTCACTGTCTACAAGCGGGCTGACGGGAAGGCGGCTCCTAAGCTGGACGATGCTACCGTGGGCAAGGTCACCGGCCTCGGGTACAACCCTGCCACCCAGGCCAAGGGCTTCACGGCTGCGCAGGCGAGGGCGGTGAGGAGCAAGGACCGGGCGAGCGACTGGGCACTGCAGGACACTGAGAAGAAGGTCGAGGCTAGGTTTTAGGGCGCTCGTTTGTACTGTCGACATTGGAACCGCATAGCTGTCAGAGATTGCCTGTAGGAACAAGTTTGAACGCCGCTAATGAAGAGTTTTCACCCAATGTAAACATTAAACGTTCCTTGGTAAGGCTCAAAGTTTCCACACACCTGCCAAGGTGCTCGGGTTGAACAGAATTGTTGCTTTCGTCCTATGTCTCGGCATCACTGGCAGAAACGAGCAATTGGCTGCCTGCAAGTCGTGCTCCAAATCGAGTTCCGTCCCCAAAGGCAGCACATTCGTCCCACCCATCCCGTCCTATCCCGTACCGTCCTATCCTGTACCGTCCCATCCCGTACCGTCCCGTGCTGTCTAACATTCTCGCTCCACTGTCCTGAACCTCTCACTACTAGTAGAATTGAGTTCTTTTTGTCCTACAGGTTGCCCAGAATGCTGAGTCTGTATCTAAGAAGGCAGTCCAAGAAGAATCCAAGAAGAGTAGAGTCTCAGTCCTGGGGAAGATATAGACTTCGTTATCCCACCAGCCACAAGCCTCGTGTCCAATGAAAGCGGACATGTGTTGTAGACAAACAGGCTTCTCTCTGTGTTCTCGCTCCAATCAAACAGCCACAGGCGAATTCGTTGACTCACCTGCACGTCTGCAGTCTGGACACAGATTACAGGCTGCGGCCTACACATAGCACATAAATCTCATCATACATTGTAGTAAGAATTCCATTAGCCATTATTTACTCTTCCCCATTACTGAGAGAGTGACCATCTTCTGTGGTGATGTCCATGCCATTCTCAAGTGAAGACTGTGAGTGATGGGGTACAGTGCACATGCATGCAGGGTGGTCTTAACGCCCTACCTGAATACACCTGGGCAGCCTTTGACAAGGCCCCACTGTGTGGACTGAAAGTCACCAAGCTGTTTGAAAGTGATAGAGCCAAGTTCAGAAATGCAGATACCAGTGAATGAGAGTTGTTTGCATTGAAACAGGTACAGTGGGCCAAAACTCTAACCCACAGGGCTGCGTCTGGACAGTCTTCAAATGTTCCCTCCTCTCACACCTCCAAAGACACCAACACATCATCTCGATCTCTTCTACGTCCACCACGATTTTCTTCTTGGCTCCTTCTAAGCCCATGGAGCCGGACTTATTGACCTTGACCAGCTGACACAACTCCCTACTTCTGAATACTTGAACTTGGTGAGTTACCAAGACAGCCTCGGCTGCCCACACTGCAAAGCAATGGACGAGGTCAACATCGTTGCCTGAACTCAACAATTTTTCACAACTGCCCCAAATTTCCCAGCATCAGATGAATTCCATCCCTTCTGACCTTGTGCCCTCTTCCCTAAAATCTAAAACGCTGTACAACACACAACCACACCAGCACCAGCACCACTACCTGTCCCAATTCTAAATTTCAAGTAGATTTGACCAAAGACCCCTCCCTGGTCATGTCTTTTATCTCAGACTTACCTTTCGTTGATGTCGGTATCGACCATGACCATTACATCCGGCCCACGGACCGACATGGCTTGGTGGTCAACACGCATTTCTATGCGCTGCCGCCATACACTACGTCACCTCATACAAGCACACTATCATCTACAGGTGGCGAAGACGGCTCAAATCACCCCAATCAAGGGATGTTTATTTCGGACTTGGAGGTCGTTGATGTTGGCATCGATTACAATTATTACGCGAAGCCGTCAGACTCAAACGGGGCGACTGTCACGACACATTTTCGGGACCTCCCACCGTTTACCGCGTCGGACTCCGCCAGTCAACTATCCTCTCTGGGTCGTATCAATGACCCAAACGACGGTGACCGTGAGACGGTGTGGCCCTCGTCCTTTGTCGGCTCCAAGGAGATGGAGCCTTTGAAGCACCAGAACGCCGTTGCGGCGTACTCTCACATATTGTCTGGGGTGCTGGTTTCAGCAGCCGTCGATCGAAGAGACAATCAAGATGACGTGGTCTTCATCCCAGATGCTGGTCACCCACACGGTCAATTCAAAGGCCGTCATCGTCCCAAATTGCCTTACTCCGAGGAGCAGCAACTATTGGAGGCATCGAAGAGATTCCTATTTTGTAAGTATTTCTCAACTACCCCACGCCTCCAGAGACCCTAAGCTTGGAAGCCCATCATCCAGCGTTATCTTGCAACTGTTCTGACTATGCATCTCGACCTAGGTACCGCGACCGCCATACCAAGGTTTCTGTTCCGGGGTTTTCATAGCATGTCTGGCGGCGGCCTCGACCCGAGGCTGAACTCGATGACCGGAGTGGTGCCTCACGCGTTCCTGGACGGCGAGCAACCCGAAGATATGTGGGAAGTTCCCAACCTACAGAACGAGCTCAGTAAACACCTCGGACAAGACAGGAAAATGCGTTCACACTTCAGCTCGTGGAGCCAAGTGTTTGAAATTGCGCTCCTTTTCGCTGAGACGATAAATATACGAAATCCCAAATCCCCCATGATCGCGGTCCTCGACACGGAATCCATGCTGGGACGTGTCTGGTATACTCCTGACCTGGAGGTCTCGGGACTGGCTAGACAATCATACACGCTGGAATACCACGTCTACGGTCCAGTCAGTGGGCCCAAATACCACTGTGTCCCTGTGTATGAGTTTTTCAGCATACCAGGCTTTATGGCTATCATGGCGGCGCCCGTCCCCCGACCCCTCAAATATGTGATCCGGGTCTGCTGGAGGATCGCCAAAGTCCTACGGCCCCCGAACGCCACCTTGGACACAATCTTGATGCTGACGGCGAAGTTTGTCGGGCATCACTTTCACCGAGCCAAACATCTCCAAACCCTCTCCTCTGCTGGTCTTCGTGGATTCCTCTACCATGTCAGGGACACTCTACAGGCTCTGGCTATGCGCGGCGACGCCAGGTACATCTCCCTGGCCGTGCCAAATGTGAGCACTGAGTTCTCACCAGCCCTGGTCTTGGAGTTGCAAATGCTACTTGCGGCTGAGAACGCCGTGCACATTCTGGGTTGGACGTGGGAAGGTGTGAAGTCGAGGATCTACAACCCGTACCGCAGAGAGTTGGAAAACGAGTATTGGAAGCGCGAATCTGAGAAGTCTAGGAAGAGGAGAGGGTCCACGATTCGGGAGTCCAGGCCTTTGAGACGGCAGCGTCTCAGTTGAGCAGAATGGGGCATTGATCGCAGATCTTGTGGAGATGATGGGGGAAAGCAGTGGAGGCATTCCTCGTGAACGAGGGAAGCAGTTTATTGAGGTCTACCTTGTCAATATGGAGATAATGCGGTGGTTTTCCAACTTTGATATCAACATCAGAGACAAAGCAAGGACGCTTCCAACGGATATGTGTTTGTTGCAGCCACGTGAAATTGTCGTAAAATTTGTGAAATTGTCGGGATAATCTCCTTGTGAACATTGAAGTCCTAAATTGTTCACATGTGCACTTCTCATTGTTCACCCACCATGTGGAAATCATCTGTGGCCTGACCTTTCGATCTGATCGCGAATAGATGTACTTGATTTCTATTGGCTCAGAAGGCCGGCTATACATATGTACATTAGATACCACCATCTGCTATGGAATTGTGAGGTGACTTGAGGTACCTTAGCTTTCCCTTCCACACGTGCGGAACAGACTTCACTTCCCAAGACCTCAAGGGCTATGTTCGGGGTCCTCTCCAAACATAGACACCTTTCTCCCGGCACTTGGCCACATCACCAGCAGAATTTAGCAGACACATTGTTAACCACAACAGCAAAGACACTATTTAACCACAACAGCAAATAGTCATTCTGTGCACACAAAAATAAATAGAATAGTGAATATTTCTGTTTGCAGTGTTGCCTTATTCAGTGACTACCATTGTTTTCGGCGACGTGAATGACTTCAGATCGCGTTCAACTCCTATGTATCCAGAAAAGACTATTTGATTGGTCTATGCTAGCAGATCTTAACATATGAAGGCCATATAAAGTGAAGTTGGTGGATTCCCAGGATCAATTGTGAATTTCAGGCTGTAGCTGCGATCGTCTGACCTCAGAAAGCACATACTTGATACTCAAGTATCACGACCGTCTTTTCCCACCCCAAACGTAGTTTTCTCAGTATCACGAACATCCCACTTCTTTTACCAGCCGCCATCTATCATTGACCGTCCTGTCCACGGACCTATTCAGAGCTTCGACATTCCGACAACACACAGAAAGGAGACATCACAGAAATCAGCATGCCTCCCCCGAATCCAGATACTGTGGCGGTCTTTACCAAGCCAGGACACCCAAAGTTTGTCGCCTCAATGTTTTCAAGGCTGTTTGGCACCCTGTTCGGAGTCTTGGCTTTTCCTTCTGGGGTATGGCGAAAGCTCCCAGAATTCGCCATCTATGATGACACTCTTCGTGCGGGCCCCATGTCCGCAAATAAGAAAGAATGGTTGATGAACATGAAGGCGAGAAAATTCCTTGAGTGTAAGTATAGTGACATCTTGATATCGACTGTGTATTCTCATGGACCAGACCGTACTAAGCAAAATATATCCTGTCAACTGGTAGATGCCAAGACATTCACGCCCCAAGTCTTGTTCAGGGGCTTTACTCCCGACTCAGGAGGAGGAGAAGACGAGAGGCTGAATGGACCACACGGTGTGGTCCCACATGGATTCCTAGATGGGACCATACCAACAAGCATGTGGCGCACCCTCCACCTCTCCGCCATGATCTCTGGTCACCTGGAGGGAGATGAGAATATCGTGTCAGACTTCAGCTCGTGGACCCAGACATGGATGACGGCCCTTCGCTTCTCCCGCTACCCTCACAACAAGGAGGCTAGAATCGCGGTACTGGACACGAGCTCTATAGAGGAGCACGTCTGGAGTTCCTGCGATCTCCTCCGCGCAGACCTGACCGAGGACGAGTATCCTGACGAGTACCTGATCTATGGCCCCATAACCGGACCGAAATACCATTACGTTTCGCCATACGAGCTGTACAACAAGACCAGGATCCGGGACCTCCTCGGAAGTGCCCCGTCCGTGTTTGGCGAGAACCCGGACTCTTTGGCCATCGAACAGGACGCGGTCGAGAGCGCGAAGGCTGTCGCCGCCTTCCTGCAACCTCGCAGCGGCCGCGGCGAGACCCTTGCGGTCCTCACCGCACGCTTTGTCAGCTACCGGGCTGCCCGGATTACCCAGAACGACTCCGACAGGCGCCAGTATTTGTCCTACAAGGACATCGAAAAGTATCTGTCATGCGTTGAGTCTCAGATCGATCACCTAGCAAAGAACGCCCGGGACGGGGAGGTCGTCCTCGTCGACGCCACTATGTACGCTGGCAAGCGGTACCTGAGATTCGAAGTCCAGCTACTCCAGGCCGTGGAGAATGCCGTCCGAATCAGAGCCCATGAGCTGAGATCGACGATGTAGGAGATCTGCCCGCTTTACCACAGCAATGAGCTTTGGGTCATCATTTTCCGATACATCAAGAAGGGCGGAATGATCGATGGAGGCACCTATGGGCAGACACTGAGCGCTTTGCTGCGACGGATCAGGCATCAAATTCAATAACCGATGGCAATCCTGAGAGAAAGCATCCGGCACAGTCACAGCTGGAAGAGTCTGGCCATTTGGTATTTTGGCAGTAGCATGTCATGAAAATTCTTCCAAGTATTCACCTATTTCTCTTCAACCTCCCAGCAAAAGCACCGAAATGTTCACGCCGTCACTATCTGGTTGACCGGTACCACGAGCGCGACGATTGCGGTTTGGGTGAATTCGGCTCCACGACACATGAATCACGTGTGACTGGGAATGGAAACCAGCGGGATGCTTTGCGGAAGTATCTCAATAAGTCCACGAAAATGGTGAATGGCTGGCGGACTGGACGAACCCGACGGACGCATGAGTGGCGTGGACGGATGACACTATCATTGGCAGGTATTTCACGCTTCTTTTCTACGTCTGCCTAGAATGACGCAAGATATCGTTCATAAGGAGATTAGTTGAGGATACTTTAGAATGAGATGATGCCGATACGCCTTCGGGGTAACGATGAGAACTCAATCTCAAATTATGGTGATCTTAATACTGCCGTCTTGAAAGTGAACTTTCCGTGTGCTTGATTACCTTATGGATTTTGAAAGGCAAACGCTTAGTGTAGCCAGTAACACTTATTTTGATGGTATCTTTATCACGACATAGTAATATGTTTCTAAGAAGTAATGGCCTTCAACCTTGAAAGCATCGCCCTCCACCCCTTCCATCCACATGGTTTCTCCAGCCCGAGGAAATCCAACGCCTGGCACGTGAGCCGAGCCAAGGTAGACGAGTCTTGTTCAAGCACGCAGAAGAGTCCGGCGTCAAGAAGTTCGACCAGACGAAGGTCGCCTCTGTCGAGTTCGCACCCAGTGCTCCGGGCGCAGAGCACCCCGGCCGCACGCGAGCGCCCCGTGTCCACCACTTGGATTAGGAAAGATGGATCCTCTAGAACCATCTAGATGGACTACATCGTCGATACGTCAGGTCGGGCTGGCATGGTCAGCACCAAGCATGGCATCTTAAAAATCGAAACTGCAACCAGACCGTGATGGTTTTGACAAAGCTGCCAATGCACACCGAGCCACCCATCTGCACAGCCTCAATGTAAGAGGTAAGGGTCGTAAGTAGAGTGAATGAGTACACGTAGCGTAAGAGCAGAGTAGTAGTAGTATATTCGGGTATAGAGAGCTACTAATCGATACTGTTTTCCTTCCTCCCTACGTCCTAAAGCCTCCTTACATGTTCTTTTACCTTCCCTAGGGTGTTGAATAAGGGACTAACGTCCCCGGCCCACATTCCGATAGTACCCTAATTCTGACTACCTACTTTTTAGTGCAAACACACTATTAAGATACCCACTTTTCAACCCCCTCTATTAAATCTAAAATTTTTTTTAAAACCCTAACCCTAAGTTTTTTATATATTATTTTAATTTAAATTTTATATAAAAATATTAAATCAAATTAATTATTATTTTAATATTTTTAAAAGAATTTTAAAAGTTAAAACTTTTAAAATATTAAGAATTATTAGTAAAATAATAAGTATTTATAAGCTAACATCCACTTACCTAGTAATTATATCTACTTACTTAGTTTTTTTTAACCACTCACCTAATACAAGAATTTATATATAGGGCCTATATAAAACTATATATCTAACTAAGATTCTTTAAATTTTTAATACTTTTAGTATAAGCCCCTTTTGGACCCCTTCTAGCACCCCTTTTAGGACCCTTCACCTTCACCTTCTAAGCCTTCTGGCCTATATGCATTTAGGTACTAACTAAGTGTTTAGATGCTAACTAAATGCTAGAGGGCTAGAAGCTAAGAAGGTAAAGGTGAAGACTATATACTTTTTAACCTTTTAGCCCTCCTTCTAGCCTTCTAGCTCTCTAGACTTTTAGCCTTCTAATATTTAGTTGGTATTTAAATGCTTAGTTAGTACCTAAATACATGTAGGCTAAAAGGTGTGCTAGAAGGCGTGCTAGAAAGCGTGCTAGAAGGTGTGCTAAAAGGCGTGCTAAAAGGTGTATTAAAAGAAGTGCTAGAAGGTATACTAAAAAGGGCTTATACCTAAAATATTAAAATTAGAGAAGGAAATTATACTATAGGGTCTTTTAGTGCTGACTTAAAAGTTATTTATAAATATAAAGGAGTTACTTAGAAAAATTAATATTAAGTAAGTAGTTAGTAGGAATTAGGTAAGTAGATATAATTATTAGATAAGTAGATATTAGTTTAATATTTATAATAAAACTAATATTAACTTTTATTAGTTATATATTATTATTATATTTTATATAAAATTTTATTTATATATTAAAAATATTAAATAATATAAAATTTAATTTTATTTAATTATATTAATTTTTAATTAAAATATAAATATCTTTATAATTTTTTTAAAAGATTTATTATAAAAAATAAAAACTTAAAATTAAAAATATTATTAATATTTATTAAATAAAACTCTTATAAATTTTAATAATAATAATATTAATTAAGGTTTTTTAAAAGAAAGTAAAATTATAACTAATTTATTTAATTAATTATAATTAAAATTAATTATAATAAGAAATATTAATACTAATATATAAAATTTTATATATTTCTTAATATTTTAAAATACCTTAACTTTAAAATTCTTTTTAAAAATATTAAGGTATAAAAATAAATTTTTATGTATTTTTATATAATATTAGAGTTAAAATACTAGTTTTAAAATTTAAGGTTAGGGTTATAGGATTTTATTTAGACTTAATAAGGGGGGGTAGAAAAGTAGGAGTTTGTGTGGAAAAGGCGGTCGGAATCGGGGGGTGGTCGGAATCTGGGCCGCCCACGTTAGACTTAGGGCTTTAAGTAGAAGATGCGTATGAGCTGCTATACTAAGGCCATTTAGGCGCTTCTTCGGGGTTGTCTTGGTGATCACTTACACTTAAGGCCTTGTCTACTTTTCGCCGGATAAAAACAAGAACTTAAAAACACCAGTACATTGGTTCAGACGCTTTTAGCTTTAGTCTATAGTGCTTAAATACCCACTTTTACCATTCTTTCAAGTTTCTATAATCTAGCTGTAAACATATCTGCATGTAACATATCTGTAGGCCAGGTGGCATGGAGATTTAATTCAATGGAAGCCTAACTTGTTAGGATCTACTAACAGGACGCTTCTATAGAGACTATACCCGTCTATTGTATAGATACTATACCGTTGCTCTTAAGTCGACATTTTAGTTAGTATTAGTTAACACTATACCGTGTGTTAGTAGGTAGTAGAGATAGTTACTATAAATACTTACACCTTTTAATAACCTTTTAATTACTATATTACTTCTCTCCCTTTAAAGCTATTATTATAATAGTTAAAATAATATATATAGTTATATTTAAATAAAACTTTAATAATTATAAGGTTATTTTAAAAATTAATATTAATTTTTAAAAGTTAAAAATAGTTATAAAGAAAAAGTAGTTATAAAAGTAAAAATAGATTTATTAAGGAGGCTCCTTCCTTTTAAGTAACTCTCTTTTTATTCCTTTATAATTAGTCTTTTATTTAGGTATACTAACTAGTTAAAAGAGATTCCCTTTCTTTTTCTTCTTATTAAGTTTTTTTTAACTTTTTAACTTTATTAACTTTACTTCTCTTTTAAAGATTTAATTACTTTACTTTTAAATTTTTAAATATAGTTATCTAACTAATTAGGTTAATAGAGGAAGGTAGAGGAGTTAGTATTAAAAGGAATAAAGGAAGGAAAGAGAGAAGGAAGGGAAAGAAGTACTCCTTTACTCCTTATATAAAGGAAGGTATAAAAGCTTCTTTATAACTACTTTATCTCTTAATAACCCTTTTTTTTATAAATCTATTTAGTTATAAAGAAATTACTAAAAGATTAAATAATTATCTATATTATAAAGTTATTATGTGTGTCGTAAGGCTGAGGCTATAAGCACCTATCGTATTATAACTATTGTTATTGGCATTGTGTTCTTTCCAAGCGCTGGGTCTTGAGTGCTTACCACCGTATGAAGGCGCCATGTATGTCCTCGGACGTATACGGAATAGAAGCGAAACCACATAAAGTTATTATTTATATTAAGTATATTTAAAGTTAATTTTAGAGGGATAATAGTTAAATAGGTAAATAAACGTTATAATGATTATCTTTAGTACCTACTAATGTACGGTATGGTATCCTTTATTGACCATGGAATCGTCCTTATATGCTTCTGTGGCACCAGTTGGCGGCGTCAGGATCCATTGATGGACTAATGCCAAGCGAAAATAAGCTTTGATGCCAAGCTACTGGCAAATCTTGGTACTGTCAAACACATCTCTTGAAGCTTTATTTTACTTAACACTAGGCTGCACTTGCCACGGCAATATAAAACAGACTTAGCGTTCAACGATAACTTATTGTTTTTCACACATGTGGATTTACTTTTACTTTGAAATAGCTGATGATTTTGGAATAAATATTATGGATCGGCTTTACATGCGCACGCCTGATGCTTTCATATTACGGCTCCTGAAGACCTCGTAGGCCGAGTTTCTCTGAAGGCAATCAATCGTGTGTCTATTTAATGCGTACCCGGCAAAGGGTTGCCCGCGATAAATCGTGGGAAACCCTGGAAACCCAGCCAGAGCTCGCCAGTTCCAGGTGGACCACCGATGATCTCCTTCTGGCGGGCCTTAAGCTCCTCCACGTCCCAGGCCGAGAACACAAGCTTGCCGTTAAGGAAGCTTGCCTCGGGGGAAGCGATCCAGACAAGGAAGTCGGATGGAAGAGAAACTATAGGAGGGGGGTGAGTGAGACTGTTAGCCAGTGCCATCTCGGCATGTTTTGGTTGGGGCGGGGCAAACTTACGGTCATCAAATTCGTATGGTAGCTTAATACTCTTTGACAACTGGGTAGACATAGCGGTGTCAAGGAATCCTGGGTGTATGTGGTGAAGGCGTACTTGAGGGTTCTCGGTAGCAAAAGACTGCAAGAGCTTAAGGGCGGCCATCTTACTACTGACGTAGGCGCCCATGCCGGGGAAAGGAGGGAAGAGGATGCCAGCCGTAGTAAGGTGTAGGAAGGTGACTTCCTTGCCTGCGGAACTTGTGTTATTGGCCAGGACAACAGCCTGAGCCACGGCGAGCGTGCCCACGATGGTTGTCTTGTACCCGTCAAGGAATGTCGCTGGGTCAGCCTCGAGCAACGGAACAACAGGAGCCAGCACGCCGGCAGCGTGAACCAGGATGTCGATGCCTCCCAGGTCGGCGACTACCTTATTGGCTGCCGCGCGGACACTTTGGGCATCGCATAGCTCGACCTCGTGAGTCTGGATCATAAGGTCGGATCCCCCATGGCTGGACTTCACGAGCTGTGCGGTCTCGGCCAGGGCCTCAGAGCGACGTCCAAGGAGGACCAGAGCATGTGGACGCGACGCGGCGAAGGATTTGGCCGTAGCTCGACCAATGCCTCCTGACGCGCCAGTGATGACGACAACCTTGCCGGCGGTTGAGAGGCCGGGCTGAGTTGGATCAATGGCAGGGTAGGTAGCCGAATGGGTCTGCTTGGTGTATGAAGGGGGTGTTGATGCCATTTTTGCTAGATTTCATCAAATCTCTTATCTTCAAGATCTCCAGGGCTAATATGAAGCTGAAACTAGGCGGGATCGGAGGGTGTATTGAAGATGAAGTTGGCAGCTTTGTACCGAGGAGTTATTTCAGAAGTAATAACGCCCTTATGGAAGTGAGGCTGGTTAGGTGCACCCGGAGTAAATTACACAGCTACCAAGGGATAGAACTTATACACTAGATCCATAGCTCCTTCAGGTGTATCATTGTTGTCGGAATAATATCCCACGGGACATTTGACATTGGTCCGCTCTGCTGCCTGCTGGCTTCCAACGCTCTCTGGCGCGCCCTAACGCCATGCAGGAATCTAGCTCTAATGGTCATAACTTTGCGTTCAACATTTGGGCAGGCGCTGACGTTACTACCTAGGTATGTACTAGCATGCACATGCGCTAGATCTATCATTTTGCTAGGATCCTTTCGGCAGGACTCCGGAGCTGTATTCCGGGCAGGCTCAGACCTGCCGGTCTGACTCTTTCGGAATATTGGCTCCATTTCCTTAGCCATATCTGGTAAGGAGCTTTTTTATTCTAAGAGAGACTACCAACCAATTTTATACCCCTGTTGGCAATTGGATCAAGGAGGAGCGGTCTATCAGTCTGCTGAGATTACAGCTTAGATAACGTGTACATGGACATTCAGCCAGAACCAAGCCCTGCCGTGAATTCAGTGATCCCGTTGATCGCAGTTACCAAAAACAATATTTAAAAAGTAGGCAGGAATTTGGGGTGGACGGGGGTAGGGCCCTGAACGTTGATAGTAGGTTGGGATAAGCTCATGCTCTCAGCGCTTAGAACCAAAATGGTGACATGCTCTTACATAAAGAAAACAACTTACACCAACATTAGCTCCTAAGGCTCCATTTACGCCATGATAGTACGAAAAGACGGAAAAATGGCCAAGGGTACCTGGGTGGTAAGGATGGGAGGCTGGATTAAAATAGTGGAGCAAAAAACATACAGCACCGGGTATTCGCTGGTCGTCACCGACCCAACTACTAATCCAGCGATTAGTGGCTTGACTATGGGAGAGCGGACGGGATCCCGTATTTTCCACTATCTATGGCCGTATGTGAAAGTAGCTTTAGCAGCATAGCTTATGAACTCTAATCAATTTTGAAACGCACCAGCCGAACCTTGAGCCTGCTGGGGTGAACTCCCAACTGGACCTGGAAACTGTCGGATATATGATTGGTGGCAGCCTTCTGCACATCAACACCGTTATACCAGTAAATATTTTTCTGTAATCAGCGACCTGTAAATCATATGATGGGTTCGCAGAATTGAATCGACCAACAAAGCCATGGAAATCATGAACGACACAACAGTGTGTCATTGCTCGAGTCGATCAGCGTCTCAGGGGTGTTTTCGTTCCTAACCATCACATCCGTTGTTACCTTTGTAGTGCTTGTCTCCAAACTGCAGGCAAGGAAGGGGGGGGCCAAAGTCAATCCCTGACTCCATTGACATCTCAAACGGCGACAACACCCTGCAACCTTGGAATCCATGTCCAATGACAAAAAGTCCATATCTTGCGCGCAAGACACACTGCGGAAGAGCGGCCCTGTGCGCTTCTACTTACCCTAGGGTAGGCTCCAAAACGGTCTACCTCGTGGCGGGGCAGCAGGGCATCATTGATAAGGAGCATGTCTGGGCACAACTGGACTGATGAAACGCCTATGGCTTGAACTTGAACAGCATGCTGACTACAACATTGACGCTGATGGAGATCATCAATGACCCTTCCCTTGTAGAGGCAGTGCGCGACGAGGCAGCCACTGTCACATCCACAGATCCTGAGTCGGGTAAGCCCACCGTCGACAGCCAAGAGGTACCTAGTACTTAGGTAGTGAGGCCACCCGTCCAGTGCTGCTGATGTCGACTGGTACCAATATTAATTGTATGTATTCATATATATACATGAAATACAAGCAAACACTCAATGTTCGCTCTCGTTACATAAAAGCAGTGGAAATAGCCAGGTACGCCCCAGCATTGTTCTGAAAGTCCACCAAGTCAGCCACAATGGCCGCGGCGTTGAGAGCGCCGTGCAGGTTCTGGCCCGCCGGGCTCTGCCAGAACGTGATCATATCTGGCAGCCGCCGCTGCACATACGCGACAAGGTTGGCCGTCATGGTCTGGAAGTGGTCGCGGTACCACGTGTCCATGGCGTCCTCGAGCGAGAGACCGGCGCCGACCGTGATGAAGTTTGGCAGGACCCTGTCCATTGCGGCGCTGTTTGTTTTGGGGGCAGAATGGGTCAGCTGACAGTTGGGGCTTCCATGTGCCCTTGAAGGCATTCATCTCAAGGGGTGGACACGTAGTATCTGGGATAGAGGAGGCAAGACTTACAAGATGGCTAGCATCTTATCCCGCGTCACCTCGAGCGAGGTTTGGACCTGGTGGGTCATTAGCATGAGGGTCTCTAAATATTCGGGTTAATAGGGAAGCTGGATTTGGGACAGAACTAACATCCTGCTGGTTCAAGTAGTCGACCACCGTCTTCAAACGCCACATCACGTCCTAAATGGCCATTAGCGCGGCACTCATCACATATCAAGTCACGAAGCTTTTCCATCGACCGGTGACGCAAGCTTTCAAGACCACTCACCAACTGTGTCGTTGGCGACATCTTGGCCCACTTTGTGTCGGCGTTGATATTCGTATACAGGCCCCAGATGGCAGCCTTGAGCGAGTTTTCCTTGGCTGTGAGCAACTGCAGGTTCTCTTTGAAATCGGTGCTGCCAAGCACCTTGTAGAAGAATGCCGAGATCTTTGTGTTGGGGTCGATATTAGGAAAGTCGCCGTCGATCCCCAGACCCTTGAGGGTATAGTCAAAGTAGCCGTTCTTGCCGAAGATGGTCTCTGCATTGTACCGCAGATTAAACCCGGTGGTGCCGCTCGGGAGGACATGGGCCAGCAGGCTGTTCATGAAGGCCTTGGGTGTTTGCAGTTCCGTGACGTGTTCTACCACCGTCTTCAAGCCCTGTGCCAGCTGCGAATGCGCCGTCGTCACCAGCGTCGCGCCAAAACAGATGCCAGTAGTGCCCAGGTTATAGACGAGGCGTGATGGCGTAAGCTTCCCGACGCCGGGATAGGGTGAGCTGCTGAAAGTGTTGATGACGGTCTTGTCTGGCCTGCAAATCTTGGAGAACCTGCTGCCGTTTCTCTCCTCGAGCGTGCTGTTGTTGTCCCCCTGCTGCTGCCCGCGGTCCGGACGCCATCCGGAACTGGCAGCAGCTGTGCTGAGATGGAGCAGGTCCTGGACCCATGGGCTTGACAGGGGCACCTCAAGCACGCTGCCTTCATCCAAAAATATTTTTGCGATCTGGCTGCGATGCAAGCCTTCCACATCTACGTCGGCGATCAAATCTCTCCTCTGGTTCTGCTTTGACGGGTCGCCCTTGTTGGGGATGGAGAAGCACTCGTCCTCGTACCACCACAGTTCGAGGTAGTCATCGCTATCCTCTGCGGCGTCATCCTTTTCGGTCGCCTCGACAAAGTCTCCGTCGGTTGAATAGCAGAAATCGAGCTTCACATCAGGCTTGTCGGGGATCTTGACTGGGTTATCGCAGCAGAAGTACTGGCTGCCCTTGGAGCAGCTCGTCGGGTCGGTGGCCAACGCCATCTTTCCCGAGGGACAGCCAGCGTCGCAGGTCCACGGTGCGTACCAGTGCGAGTTTGAGTACCACTTGCACCCTTCAAAGACAACGGGTTTTGTGCAGCACATGCTCTTGTGACCTGTGAAACAGTATTGCTCCCCGCCGGCGCCGTAGTTGCTATATGTCAGCTCCTGCCTGTCGTCGTCGCATCCGTACGAGGAAAACGGAGCGCTACACACAGGGGACGCGCCCTCCCACTTGCATGTTCCAATGGCCGAGTCTGATGAGGTACGGGAGCAGCAGAGGCGGGTGTGGCCGGCAAAACAGCCGCCGACGTGGGTCGTGACCTCGACCTCGCCCTCCTCACACTTCTCGTTGGAGCAGTTGATGCCGTGGCCCCTCCACTGGCATGTAGGCACGTCGTTCTTGGGGCAGCAGTAGGGCCGGACCTGGCCCTTGGGGCAGTCGTTGTAGAAACCGGCGTTGCCCTTGCCCTTGCCACTGGCATACTGCGCCGCGCTGAGGTCACCATCACACTTGGTCTCGCCCTCCTTGGCGCATGCGCCCCAGGTGCACTGCGAGAAGGTGTCGGCCGACTTGTCGACCGCCTTGAGGGACAGCGCCAGGTGCCCCGTGGACTTGGACAGTGCAGCGGCCGCCGTCCCTAGGCTGTCGTCGGTGGAGGAGGCCCAGATCATGGAGCCGCCGAGGCACAGGCTGTTGGCGTAGTCCAGCTTCATCTTGAAGGTCTCCGCATCATCGTAAGAGACCCACTGATCGTTGTCCCAGGTGACGATCTGCACGGCGGCATCCTTGTCCAGGGTCACAGTTGCGCCAGCCTCAATGAGCCGGTTGATCTCAACAAACGAGAGGGTGCCGACGCTGTTGGTGCACTCGCCTGCGGCGCCACCGCCGCTGAAGGGGCACCCGGCCGTCTTGCAGCTCGGGTCAGCGAGGGTGAAGCTCCGGCCATAGAAGCCCAAGCCCAGGACAATGTTCTCGGGGGGTATGTCGTTGCGCCACATGAGATCCATCGTCAGGTCGATCTCGGTCAGGTTTGTGTGGGCCATGACCTTGGGCCCGAGTGACTCGATGGTCGAGTCCCAGGTGCCGTGCAGGTCGTATGTCATCACATTGAACCAGTCGATGACCTTGTTGATCTCGACAATATCAAAGTGCCGGAGGTACCAGTAGCTGGACGGCACGGTGATGGTCAGGCCGTAGGAGCCACCGCTGGCGGTCAGCGCCGACTTGAGGTTTTTCAAGAAGGTGACATAGTTCTTGTAGTCGGCCTCTTTGCCACTGCGCTCCTCAGCCACAGGATACTCCCAGTCGATATCCACGCCGTCAAAGCCGTACGTCGACATAAAGGTAATCAGGCTCTTAGCGAACTTGTCCTGCGCATCAGATGAGCCCGCCAGGTCGGAGAAGGTGGTAGCAGTGGGCTGGTCAGGGTCGTTCATGGACCAGCCGCCGATCGAGATGAAGGTCTTGAGGCCTGGGTTGAGCTCTTTCAGCGCGGTGAAGCGTGGCCAAAGGTCTTTGTCAGTGTCACTCATGGGGGCAACGGCGAAGCTGACGGGGTCGATGAAGGCGAAGGCGTAGTTCAGATGCGTGTAGGCGCCGGCGGGGATATTCTCTGGGTACATGCCATCGCAGGCTCTGGTGGTGGACCAGCCCTCATAGTAGCCAATGGTCCTCTGGTTGGAGCTCGTGCCTTTGCAGGACGGTTTGGTCACCTTGCTGTCGCCACAAAACTCCTCGGTGGTGCCGCAGAAGCCAAACTTGCTGCAGCATACGTTCAAGGGGCACTTCTCAGCGCTGGACCACTCGGATCCCCAACCTGGGTCACAGTCCGACTTTGCCGTACACTCGCTGATGCAGTTCCCTGGCGCGCAGTAATCCGGGCCCATGCCGCAGACGCCATTGGTACCGCAGCAGCCGAGCGCACATGGCTTGCCTGGTCCGCTGCTATTGGTTTAGCTGTCGTCCCAGTAGGTATTTGTGGGGGAAGGACCTTAGGGCAGACTCACCAGCTATAGTCCTGGCCTACAACGAGCAAGGCGAAGCTAAGCAGCAACGCAGCGAGAGTGCTCTCTTTGGTTATCAGCATGATGATGAGCTCATGGACGGCGGGCTCGACTTGCAGACCTTGAACCTTGAAGAGAAAGCCCAGATGCCCCGAGTGGGCGGTTTAATAGTACCTAAGTATATGAGGGAGACTACAGTCATGGACTTCCTATAGTCTCAATGCCTAACAGACCACCGAGTTTCGACATGCAATTGACCGAGTTTCTAACATCTGAAGTCGGCTGGTACATGCTATCTATCATGCAAGATTCAGGGGGGTTCATAATAGGTTGCACTGCAGTGCCCACACGTGAAATCAATTGTCTCGTGAGTCGTGCCATTCATTTTAAAAACAAGTGATCCGACGATGGCCCAAAGACCTCGTGGTAGCCTCGTTAGTAAGTACCCTATGGTAGTGCCAATGTCGAATCCTTTGTGTTTCTTGGCGTCAGCTCAGCGTTTCATTTCTTAATTTCTCCAGAGTCATTTTCCAAAGACGCGTATCAGCTTGAAAGTTAAGCGAGTGTTATCTCTGAATAATCTGTCAGCACCATATCTTTCCCGTTCCTTTTGTCGCCTATTCTGGGGACGACTGCTCCTACTATGAGGAATCAAATCATAACTTGTAGAATAGCGCAGTCCAAGAAGCGCCTCAAGGCCAGATTAGGAAGGTGCTCGATGCCTCGTTTTGCCGATATCACTCGTAAGGGAGTTTTCCAGTGTCTCTGGATACCTGGACAAAGAGCCGTCATCAGAGCAACCTAGCTGAGATGGTGGCGGCTCATGATGGACTTGATTGAGTGAGTACTAGAAGGAAACGGTGCGGCCTCCTGTGGTATGCCCATTTGCTGTTCCTGAAGACCTCGCCCACCAGCACCACTCGCACCAGTACGACCTCGGGAGGTCAGGTCCATCATCATGGCCTTCCCTCTGATCTTGGGCTCTCTTGTTGGTAGTGCAATGGCCAACTTCGCCGTGGTCGAGCCGGGCACAGTCGCCAACAGCTCAGCGCATCTCGGCGTCACACTGGCTGCTGAGTGCGTCGATGCCATCGAAGCCGACGTGAGCTGTGACCCCTATTTACAACTCCAAGCCGCGGCAGATTCGTACGCCAGCGACACCACCACAAAGGCCTACGTCTGCACCGCAGAATGCCGCTCGACCCTGCGCTCGTACATCTCCAACGTCGCCTCCAGCTGCTCGGGTCAGCCTCTGCCATGGGAGGGCATGCCGCACGCATACTTTGGCAAGGTCCTTGAGGCCACCTACAACATGACTTGTCTCCAGGATGCCAGCACGGGACAGTATTGCACCCAGGTCCTCCTGGGGTTTGGCAGCGCCACTGTCGATGAGCTCACGCTCGAGCAGGCCTGCTCCCCGTGCATGCTGTCCGTGGGCCAGCTTATCCAGTCCACCTCGTACAGCAACTATGATGATGAGCTGGCCTCGCAGTGGGCGAACATCCAGAGCCGCTGTGGCGTCAGCTACCCGACCGAGAGACAGCCATCCGAGACGACGGGAAACGGCGGGTACGGCTATGCCGACAACTACACAACAGAAACGACATGCTGGTCCGGCCAGACGTACACCGTCGTTGGTGGTGATGACTGTGGCGCCATAGCAGCCGCCCAGAGCGTGTCGACAGGCACGCTCATCACGCTCAACAACATCCTGCCCGACTGCACCAACCTGCGCATCGACCAGGTCCTCTGCCTCCCGGAAAAGTGCACCACATACACCGTACAGCCTGGCGAGACGTGCTTCGCCATCGCCAACGCGCACGACCTGACCTTTACGCAGCTGCTCTCCTGGAACCCAGCCCTCAACCCGACCTGCACGAACCTCATCAGTGACTCGCGCATCTGCCTGTCCGTCCCGGGCGGTGTCGTCTATAACGCAACGGCCATTGCAGGCGTGACACCCACCCAGACTGGAGCGTATGCCACGGCGACGGCCTCGCCCCCGGCCAGCGGCTCTCTTGCCTACGGCACCACGACCAACTGCGGCAAATACTACCACGTCGTAGACGGTGATTACTGCCAGATCGTCGCGCTCAAGAACAGCATCGACCTCGCCCTGTTCGCGCTCATCAACCCGTCCATCGACGCGTCGTGCAGCAACCTCGTCCCGGGGCTGTACTACTGCGTCCAGCCCACGCAGGACTGGAACGTGACTGTCCCCACCACCACATTCTACACCACCGTGGCCCCGCCCGGGCCGACAGGCAGCGGTACCGCATCCGCGTGCTATGTGTGGTATGTGGCGCAGGTCGACGACGCCTGTTACACCATCGCCGCCACCCACGGCATCACCCTCGACGCGCTGTACGCGTGGAACAGCGCCCTGAATGCCGACTGCACAAACCTGATTGCCGGCGACGCGTGAGTAGCCTGCCACCGTCCCGTGGGAAAGCATGTGAGCCGAGCAACAGCAGCTAACCTTCGTGCTTGCAGTTACTGTGTCGACGCACTGCCAAGGTCAGACCCGGCCACCGAGACCGTGTCAACCCCGGCGACGACAACCAGCGCCGCTGCGGTCGTGACGCCGACGCCGTACCCGGCCAACATGGTTGCGGGCTGCAAGACGTTCCATCTCGCGGTGGACGGCGACTACTGCTGGCTGATCGCGACTGATGCAGGCATAGACGTGGCTACTTTCCAGGAATGGAATCCAGACACCGGCGCCGACTGCTCCGTATGGCTTGGGTACCACTACTGTATAGGCATGAGTTAAGCAGTGTAATTGGCCAGTTTGAGCTTGAAGAGAGGCGTGCGAATATTCTTGTAGAGATAGTATCTTGTTGCCCATGTTGTTGACGCGTCTGCTTGTTCTTTAATTGCAAATATTTCTGATGACTAAGCATACCACGTTGGCTGCCGAGCCGTATGCTCGTTTATTGCATACCTAATCTAGGCACTTATGAATCCCAGAGCAGGGGTGGCCCCTGCAGGGGCACCGGCAGTCTACGGAGTACTTAGTAACAACGCCCAGGGTAAATTAACGTCAACCTTTGTGCTTCTTCTGTCTTACCCGTGACGCAACACTTGAACACTTCCGCTCCTTCCTCAGTCGTTATGCTCTCGACGCTCATCAGTCATGGCAAAGATCGAATTCCCTCCCGGCTGGAGCAGTGAGCGTCTCAACACCATTTCTGCCGAGGACTTCGCCCAGTTGCCAGAGGATGTAAGCCTACCGTCGTGTTTTAGGTCGGTTGATCAACCCACATCACGAACTGGCACTGACCGCGGTACGTTGCGCAGGAACGAGCGGCCTTGAAGCAGGTAGTGAGGCGACATGCCTTTTCTCCAGAGTACGCAAAGCTGCAGAAGCTCAACAAAGCCCTGCCAACTAGCCCCGCGAGGCAGCCTACACCGCCCTCGTTTGTGCCCCCTGGGTGGACCATCGAGCAGACGAGGGGCCTTGACATGAGGCTTGTTGAGACTTTGTCTCCCGAGGTACGTTACTTGTTGGCTATAGGCAGTCAGCCACCCACCTAACTTCGACCTCATCTTGTCTTCCTCGTCCATCTCTTCGTGTCCCTTACAAAAGAAACACTGGCATAGAACCAACGGCTTTGGGCAGCGGGTAAGTGCGCCGACACAGCGCGCCAGGCCCTCAAGACCGGCAAGGGCCAGTTGGTCGAGCCACCTTCCTACATACCTACTGGCTGGTCGGCCGAGCAGGCCACGACGCCCACTTTCGACATACTGTCGCGGCTCCCGCACGAGGAGCTCACACGGTACATGCAATCACGCAACGAGAAGAGCATATCGCTGGCCTCCCGCCCAGCCCCAACCTCGGGTTCCGAGCTGCGGCCTTCACCCCTTATCCAGGCGCTCCAGGAAAAGAACTTCCCCCCGTGGGGCTTCGTGCTGGTGCGCACGTATTACGCGTCTGAGCAGCGCTGGGAGGCCTTCCAGGCGAGGCTGAATGCGCTGTGCGACGAACAGCTTGACCAGGAGGTGGGTGAGGGGCTGCAGAAGGTCAGGGAGTCTCTCGAGTTCAAGATGATTGAGGATCCGAGGCTGGCGGGCGTTGGCCACGCCGAGGCAAGGAGGTACGTTCGCCACCACGGTCCTTCGTTATTTTGTTTTGTTTGTCATCACGGTCCAGTTCAGGGCCGGAAACCCCCCAACATGGGCTGACCCGTCGATGTAGGCACTTCCATATCGCTCGAGAGATGGGCGGCGTCGCGGCCGGACTGGACCTGGCCGTGCTGCTGCTTGTTGACGAGGACGTCGTTGACTCGGTGCTCGATGACAAGACGCGGTCATCCTCCTCCGAGAGCGATGTTGCCCTTCCGCCTCATCTGGTTGCTGTGGATGTCAGCGCGCCACCCGCAGGCGACGAGCATCCTGGCTTCTTCCGCGTATCTGCGGACGCGCTGCTTTCGGAACTCTATCCTAAGCTCTGCATGGGTCTTTCCGCTAGGGACCTGTGGGCCATGCTTGGGGATGGCCAAACTGTGTGGACTGGGGATGATCAATAACCTATAAATCCACCTTTCTTTTTATTTATATTTTTCAAGAAGAAAAATAATAACAATACTAAGAACGATGTAAGAACATTGGGCATGTAGCCTGAGCTTCGTGACGCATAGATAAGGCCGGGAAGCATCGCTCCAGCTGCCGCTGTTGATTAGAAGATGGCGAAGCGATCATACGGCGAGGCCAGGCTAGACTAGTCTCAAAATTGTCCACGATGAAGTGATATATCATTTCACTGTCCTGTGCATGTTGATCATTCTTTGGAAGATGAAAACTATGCTTCGGCGCGGCTTGGTATTAACACAAAGCCGAGTAGGCCCACCGTCTCAGACCGTCTCAGCACGAAATAAACCAAAAATACAACATGATCTCCTGGACTCATTCAAATTTATTTTGGACTCTCCGCCTTGGAAAATCACCTTCCAGTACCAGAATGACCATATGCCTGCCGGTAACTCGTCTGGCCACTATATTTTCGGTCCAAGTTATCAAGATGGTTCTTCATTTCATGGTATCGTTCCTCCCACTTGGGCTGTCCCCTGTATGGTATTTCGGACGGCGAATGGCTGTCATATATGTATTTACCAAGCATTTCGCCTCCATTTGGCTCACTGTAGCCTGTCAATATTCTGCCGTGGCATTGGCCTCGAGTGAGACATACATGTATGGTGAAGAGTTATGGGAGTTGCTCAATCCGTAGTGCTTCGACCAATGATCCTTCGAGCCGTGGGATTTTGAGTGCTGACCCATGATAATAGTGTGTACTGGAGACCTCGAGGTCACTGATAGATATTTCTGTTGACTCAGCTCCTGTAGATGATTCTCAGACGATCGGTGCACGAGACTGTTGTGTGAATTGAACTGCTCCTCTCACCTGACGGGAAGGTCATCGTGACTTGGATTTCTCTTATATAGCGACTCAGACATCTTGAAGTCATCGCCATGTCTAAACTCGCAGAAGAATATGAGAACCCAGGATTTGATACCATGTTTACAAGCGTTGAATATGGGGTGAATTCAAACTGCAGTGTTTCAATCGTTATGGACCAATAGAGTAGACTCAGAGGGGACTAATCATGCAGGTGTGCATCCTTTACCGTCAACTAGCCCCTTTCCGTCACCCATGCCCAGGTACATGTACCCCCAGTCAAATGGAGATGATCGCCAAACTATCTGCAAATATTCAAACCGAAGGGACATCATCGTTGACACGTGTACCTAATGGCCCGCATGGAAGCGGACACCGTCCTTGTCCGCAGTTACTCGAATTACATTTGCTAGCTTCCAATAACAGATACCTACTGCTTCGAGAACCCTATTGCCAAATTCTATAAAAGGCCTTCTCCATGCTGCTGGAAGGAATGAAGAAACGATTTTGCAGGGCGATTGGGGAGAGGAACGCCAGTTTTATAATTTGTGCATCGTCGAAGGCCTCGCATGCTCGGTGAGCCCCCAAGTTCAGCTCTGAGGTCCGTCACGGATAAGGCTGGGGGAGCTACCACTGTCCCGATTTAGGCTGATTCACTAGCTAATTCATTCAACAGTGTATAGAAAGCCGGGCGTTCCGCCTACCTGTCAGCCAAGGCAACCTGGCTGTGTGCCCGGAAGGTGGTGCGACGGACTCAGCTGCGTGCAGTAACACCGATTCGGCCTGGTGCTGACCACAGGTTGCAGTGCTAATGCAACCCGTGTCACCTAGCAAGTGTAAAAATCATATTCCGCCCCCAAATTTGGGCCTGGGCAGCATGGGGCCCAGCCCAAGTGTCGGTGAGCCCAGGTTCGATGGATGAGGCTCTGCTCATGTGGGCTGTACGTTGTGTATGGATAAGCCAACCTCCGCATTGACTTAGATTCCGAGCCTTCTATCCTTACATCTTTTCCGTATCAACGACGACCCACCTGATAATTCTCACTGGGCGGTTATCCACCCAGCCGCCAACCCTGGGATTTCTTCATCTAATCGTGGCTCATACGGGCGATTCGTCACTAACTATACTTGGCTGATTGAGCCTGATTGACCTGCTCTATCGGCCTCGATACTGGCCAGCCGACCTGAAAAATGGACAAAGAAACCAGGCGGCCGTCTCATCCCACCGAGAAGGGGGCAAGGTGGACGTCAAGGCCCGCGTCACCTCATCGAGATGATATACTGGAAGCCCAGACTCAGACCCATGATCCCCTTCAGCCTCTTCAATCCTTAACTGAAGGCCCAAGGATATCGTCGCCACTTCTAGGTGCCCTTGAAAAGGCCATGGATCCGTCACTAGCTTCTCACCCTGGCAACTCCGCACCCTCGACCACAAGCAGTCTCTCACGAGCTAGCACCCTCAACTCTACCGTCACTACACAGTCCCAAGACACCACCATCACAGAGTGCAGCGGAGATAGTGCATACTCGGATGATACGCTCTCCGAGTCTGTAACCAGGTCATTGACTCTTCCAGTCACCAGTACTTTCCCTAGTGACCGTATGCCGCGACCCACAGGGGGGAACTTTCGCATCTTAGACTCCCCCACGCCATTATTTGACCAACAGTCCCTCTTCTCATATGGCAGCATTGTTCCTGCTCCGTTTCATAATTTTGGTCCCGGCTCTATACCCGGGTGGCTTGGGTCTGCAGGGAAAGAGGACGACATTGGGTTTCTGGCCTACCCTTACAAAAGGCATCACAAACCAACGCGGCATCTCACTTTCCCAATTGAGGAATCCAGGAACCCCACAAGGACCAACAGCGCGAGTTCGTTGAGACTCAAAGACAAGGAATATACTGAAGTCCTAGATACAGCGAATATGGATCACCCAGCCCCAAGGGGTTGGACCATTCAAGACACGGACGCGCGTTCTAACGACTTTTGGGAGGATTGTATCCCGAATCAGACAGATTTGGGCAGCTTGCAATCAGAGACCGGCATGCACTTGAAAGCGGGACTTCATTCCGACGAGGGGATGACGCGCTCACTCGACTACAAGCATGATGATGTGCGTCACGAATCTTTCACCTTTCATTCGGGCCGCATCCCCGCGCGACGGGAGAAACGGAGTCCTTGGAACATAGTTAAGGCGCGCAAAGCACCTGAAAGGGCGACGGATGGGGTAGCAAGGCAATCTATGCCGGACAATGGGCCGCGATGTAGCAATGACAGCGGGGTATGGTTGATTGACAGCCCAGATACCAGTCTAGAGGCTGCTCTGGGCAACGGGGTCCTCAACAGAGCTGTTCCCCAGATGGAGGGTGAAAATGATCGGCCATCTCACCCACCAAGCCCAGGTGATGAGAGGAAACTACCTTGCCATGATTCTCGGTATGTTCACAGAGTTGATCCACATCCAGCTTGGCTTGAATGACGCTGATAGTCCGTGGGATAGTGAGCCAATTTCTCCGGAGTCTGATGACAAGACAGTGTCATTATATGAAGATTCCGGTGCTGAGAGTGAGGACGATGAGGATTCCGCATACAATACATTGGTGCAGAGTATCACCTGTCTCGTCGTGGGTTCTCCTGCTGTTGGCAATGCTGAAGAGCGAGGCGTTCCCGTCGAGCTTTATGTCCACAGCTTCCTCGAGCAAATCCTAAGCCACTCGAAGCCAGCAGCCGAGAATCAAACTCCTCTTCTCCCTGTTTACAATCTACCCATGCACACACTGCCTAGGAATACCAATGATGGCCCGGGCAATTTATCAGACTGGCACACACGTGCTGATGGCCAAGGCGAGAATGGTGGTCGCAGAGGCGGACAGAAGAGGCCGAATGAGGAGCCGCATGGTCAGAGTCGCAATGGAGATGATGGCGGTGGTAATGACCCCTGTGACAGTTCGGAAGATCAGAGCAGAACCAAGAAAGCTAAGAAGCTGAAAACCGGGAGAAAGTCAGGCCTTCTCAGCTGTCCTTTCAGGAAAAGAAATCCCACACGCTTCAATGTCCGCAATCACGGGGGCTGCGCCTTGGCCGGTTTTCCGAGCTTGTCGTTGCTCAAGTAAGTGAATACCGTCAAAGATTGACATTGGATGTTTTCCGATTCTCATCACCCGCAGACGCCACATCCAGAATATCCACAAGAAAACTCAAAGTTCGATTTCTTGTCTCCGCTGCCAGCAGACATTCCCAGATCAAACAGCCTTGAGGATACATTTAACTCAACCCCAGAGCTGCTCCGTTGTCTCTCCTAGTGGAGACGACGATCCGGAAGATGGCATCACAGATGAAGTTCTCAGCGCATTGACAGCACGGAAAAGGGAAGACAGCATCCGCGAATGGCCAGATTTGTGGCACTGTTTATTTCCCGAAGACGACCTTGGCAAAATCCCCGAATCTGGTTCGTAGGATACCACAGAGGTACTTTCTTTTAACAATTAAATCCCCTTGCTGACCACCTATAGACCATGAGCCTCCCGTTGAGTGGGACGAAGTACGAGAGCACTGCTACCACGAAGACTCGCTCCACAAATTCGTCAACAGCATAGCTGGCGAACAAGTAATCACCGAGCATGGTTTCCGGTACCTTGTTGAAGGTCTTGGGCAGTCTCTTGATACACGCTTTGAAAAGCATTCCAAGGGAAGACCATACCGGGGTGAAGAACGGCACGAGCGGGACAAGCATTTTGTGAGCATGGTTAACACCTTGCTCGACGAGCGCATGACCCCATCCCGGGCCCAGCAAACCGAATCCGTGGTAGTATGCGAGCCGCCTCAGGAGGTTTCCACAGACCCTTCGGATTCCGATTTCAATAACCAATTAAACTTTGGCCTTGATTATCAGGATATCTTCAACAGCCAGTTCCCGATGACATACCCAAACAACCCAGCATATAACTCTTACACTGGCTTCGGGTTTGAAAACGCCTCCAACATGCCCGCCCCGAAAGCCAATGCGCATTTTTCGTCCGAAGGTGCAATGCAAGCGGGGCCTCTTCAGCCGCTCATAGAAATCCCGCTCATGGCCAGACAAAACGGGGGGCGTCCGAGCTCACCGGCGGAAGGGAGCGGGCGTCGCTTGAGCGCGCGGTACTCGAGCAGCGGGCTGTCGTCTCAACGCAGCCGCGACTCAGGCGACCTTCTGACGCTGCGAACAGAGGAGACCGGGGAGACACAGAGCACCCAGTACACGCCATTTTCACAAGACCCCCAGTTTTCACAGGATCAGGCAGCGATGCTTCACCACCAACAACAATGCCACCCTCACCCGGAAGACGGAGAGTCCGGCGAACACACCAGATTCTGCAGTTGCTCCACATTCCCGAGCGGCATCCCTCCTGACGGCCAAGGCTGCGCTACCGCAATGCCGAGCCAGGGCTCGTCCGAACTCCGTGGCATCGGAGAGGATAGGACCAGCGCATTCGCGCCTGGGAATAGTTTGTACATCAACAGCGACGAGGAGTTTAGCCCAGGGGCGGACTCGGCATGATTGCACATGTGCGTTGATGATGGGACACCGGGATTTCAGGGTTACGGAATGGAACCACTCATGAAATGGAAGCGGATTTCCCGTGTTTCTAGCGTTCCTCAAACAGCAATTTGTTGGCAATACTTCGGACAATAAAATGTGGAAGGTGCCATGTGCCGCTGCATTCCCGGGCGTTTATCTCGTCTTCACCTTTTGTGGCAGGTTCGGGCTATTACGTGCGTGCGAAACCTAAATGCCTTCTCGCCCTTAGAGATGATCGTGATGAATTATTTGGCTGGATTACAAAGTTCACAATATTATTCAATGTGGAACTCAGGAGAAGTAGAATATACACAGTCTAGCACGTGCAACTTGGATTGTGTTATCGGCACATAGACCTTGATCAAATGAATACTAGCACTGCTGTCAAGTGAAGTGATGCCAAATTTGGATGATGGTGATCGTGGATTCGACGTAAATGCCAATTCAGAGAACAGAAACGGACGCAGCTTGTGGACTGCTTGTTTCTATTTGCAACAGCCCTAGGAGAGAGTCTACGCAGCCCCAAATGGCTTTGATCAGTGAAAAAGCTTGTGTTTGGGGATTTGAAGGCCGGCGGTTCAGCATATGTAAAGATAACTGCTCTCTTTCTATATTTTGTATGTATCCCAAAAAAATACAGTCCCTTCACATAACAGGCAACGATGAATATCGATGATATGCATTTAGTCGGCTTCAATTCTCGTGCGAAGCAGTAATACAATTTTTCAGCTAGCGGCCTCTCGGCAGATAAGACGCGACGCCGTGCTTGGATAGTCCTCAATTCACATCACGGTCAAGCCTTCCGGTCGCTGGATAAAACTAGGCCTCTCTGGATCGAAAGATCCGGAACTGCGAGATCAGTGTGGCTCACTTGTGCCTTTGTGAGTCCGTGTGTACACAACTGAAGAAGTCCCGGTTAGGGGTAGTCTCGCTCAGACTGTTCATCAGATTGGCCATTTCAACGGCACATCAGTTCTCATCGAAACTAACATTGTACCCGCGAAATCGGAATTTCGAAATTCCACTCTGTTACAAGGTATGGTAAAGAGCAATTGCATCACGTTAGGGATGGGGAAGCGGCCAATAACACGTCAGAAAAGAAGGGTAACCGGAAGCCAGAAAATGAGCCATTTGCATTTTTGTTTACCGAAAGTCAACTCCAAGTGCAAGCCATGACTCATGAGAAGACAGTCCTACAACTCTATATCAACGGTCATTGCAAACAGAATTGCTATTCCCACCAGATAAGAGCCGAAAGTAAGCCCGACTGTTGAGCAAACGATAGTTTGGGCCGGCTGGCATCTCCACACATGGAGCAATGCAAGTGGCTCGATCGAAGGCTCCACTGGCATTTCCAGGACACAAGATGAATTTTGCGAGCCGGCGAGCTGTGCGAGAAATCTGTCAGTGCTCCCTGTCTCACGACGGAAGTTTGCGACTAGAACTGATTGTGTGTGCAACGGGAGTGAGAGAGAGACTGGGCCCAGTACTGTCTCGAGTGTGGGGCAGGCTGCGAGTGGTAACTAACTCCTGGTTCTGGAACACAAGACAAGCTCAGTGCGTGCGGCTCGGCCGAGCGTCGATCAGTCCGGGCGCTGGGTTTACCACCGTGCTGGAATGTCCCCCTCACCGCTTCTTGGGAGCCGGCTGCGGAGGAGAGGGGGAAGGAACGTGATTGCGGAAGGGGCCGAGGTTGGAGCAGTGTGTTCAGATCAAAGACCGGCAGATGTCTTCGTGCGGATCCGCCTAGGCTCGGAAGGGTTACCAGCTTCGAGCGTTGCATTTGCTTGTCTCTGACGTTCAACCACGTTTGTTTAGAAGGCTGAGGATGAAGCCCTGTTCCTTGCCTTCTTCAATGTTGTGCATTTGTCGGCCAAGTCCCACTTATCAAACCCATTGCAGACCCGACAACCTCGTCGTGCCTGGACCTGTGGGGGAGTGGAGGCTAGGCCCGCCCCGAGATGTTTGTAAACATTCGTGTAAGATGATTGGCCGAGCAGCGGACAAGGCTGCCACGAGCCAATCCTGGTGCGATCGCGATCGATCGCTCAGATAACGGATTAGGTGAAACCAATTGCTCTGAGCTCATGCCGAAAACACACTAGCAGCAATCCGGTAATGGACTGCACGTTTTCTAGGGGTAGTTGTCCCTAATCCATGCAAATGCGAAGGAAGGACCAAGGGACCGGACTGAAGTCCTAGCGCCATCTAGTGATCGTTACCAACCGGGGTATGCAAAAAGAGTTCCGCGTTCCCACCGGCCTGTGTCCCGCCAATGTCGTCCGATGTTTCCTCGCTCCACCGTCCGCAACATTGAGGGCTTCATCTGATCATCCCGGGGTTGAGCTTATTTTGACAGCCTCTACGTGTCATCACCACACAGTTCGGCTGCCAGCGGCGTGCACGCCGTCCTGCTTGTGGAATGCAACGCGAAACCGACGAACTGTGAACCGAGGCGCAGATCAAACCCCATTTCATCTTCCTGCGTTTCTCTTCGTCCTGATATCCTGCAGGGGAAGCTGCAGGATATCGATAAACTCTCCTTGAAATATCTGCTGAGTGAGAGTGAAGATATGATTTTCGATACCAAGCACTCGGGCTTGGTCGTTCAGCTCGCCCCGGGCCGAGGCGTGAAATGTAACTACCATTTGAACCGCACTGTGATTTTGTTTGAGGGTTTGGTTTCTTCGACAAGTAATTGACTATGCCGGTCGCCTCGTTGCTGTCATTTTTTATGACAGACAATGGGTGCTCAAAGTACAGCCAATAAGCTAGAAGGAGCGCCCGTGAGGACCATTCTGACCCATGTGTACGAGGTCACATCCCATGTAACGTTGGAGGGTCCAGACACTAGTATCGGACCCCAAGTTCCCGAGGTCAATTTCTCACGTCAAATTTCTTCACTTTTCATTCTTTATTTGATATTTATGCTACATTTCTATTCATCTGGTCTTGCCCCAAGTCCGATTCTATGAAGGAGTGTCCCCGACGCTCCCCCGACGCGTCGCATCCATGATTACTGCCAAGTGATTATTGAACGGTCTCGCTAGATCCGGCCATGCCTCCATGAGTTCTGAGCAGTGTGCTAAAGGAACCATAATTATAGGGTGAAACTATCGATATTGAAGTCAGTTCATGCTTCAGGAGCATTGCAGAAAAGCCGGGGGGGGGGGGAGATATTCGAACCTTTAAACTATTGCATTGCGACAGTCGCTCCATGCAGCCGAGTGCTTCTTGCGCCGCGAGTGTCCCGCGTTGCATGCTCTCCACTCTCGCGTAGTCGTACTCCTCCTTCCCAGTTGCTGCTGTGCAGCTCAGGGTGGAGTGTAGATGAAGAATGACTATTTGCCACATGATTCCCATGAACGGTGCTAATGACTCTGACTTGTTCATGGGCGACTGGTGCCTTGAGTTGGCACAGTTCATATTTTCTGCAAGTTGGGCGTTGATTTCTCGGTGTCGCTGCCAGATGCCCGCTGTGTTATGTACCCCGAGCGCCTTGTCAATAATAGATTGGTGTCGATGTGACACTGCCTTGCCGCAGATGGCAGCTAAATGGATGAAATCGCTGAGTTCTGTGTCGGGCGCTCCGACGGTCAGTGAATCGCTGTTGAGATAGCCTGTTATCGTAGGAATCTCATTTTGAAACTCTGAATCGGGTGCTGGTAATGGAACGTATATCTTTGGTTACAAGGTCAGCTCAGCTCAGTTGTCATTAACTAGTACGGTAGCATTCAAGGGCTTACCGGCTCGTTAAATGTGCATGGGGCGTCGTTGCGCAAGCTTATAGTCCGATCGAGGCAAAATGCTACCCAAAATGTCCTTCTCCTCTCTTCCGCCTCGACCCAGTCGGACATTGTCGACGAGGTAGAAAGAATGTCGTAAAACCAGTTGAGCTGAATAAGTCTAAATGCACGCCCCGCTCTCATCCACCCTCGTCTAAAGTCGACGCACTTGAACTCGTAAAACGCTAATAGGAGCTGCGCTTGTACTTGCGCAAAGTCGTTGGGGCGCATCTGGCTCCACTCGTCCCCCGAGTCCCAGGACTCGAGGTTCAGCAGTGATTGAGATGCATATCGGTATAGGTAGTTTGCCATGGTCTGATACTGGCCTGGTGATGTTGAGGCTGCCAGGGTCCACATTGCGAGTTGAAGACACTGTTGTGCCTCACTTTTGTCCTGCTTGCGGCTCCATGCCATGTAGCGCCGTTGATGCATGATGGGGACATGGAGGTGGCTTCTATCCCAGTAAAGCTGGTCGCTGGCAATGATTAGCAACGGGTGTTGTATCGCGGATGCAAAATGTGGACTGAATGCACTTGAAGCTTCACTTTGCGTACACCAGGGTAACACTCACAGGTCTGCCTGCATCATGGGTGAGAGTCTGAACTCGGCTGCCCCTCCGTCGGGAGAGCTCCAGCAACTTGACGCGGTCGACATCCTCCTCATGTTATCGAGACTGAGCGACGAGATTTGGTCTCCTGACGCGTGCATTCCATTCGGAAGCATCGTATCGTAACCTATGCCGCCGAAAGCAGTGAGCGGAGGAGACATCAGGCTCGCGTCCATTGGTGGCGTTGGCGACATGGTAGTACCGCCGAGGCAGGGAAACCCAAGTGATGGCTCCAATCCGTTTGATATGGGGTTGCCCGAGGCCATGTCGGGGAGAAACACGTTATCGGGTTCTGTTCCAGGGTGGGAAATCTTCAGCGAATCTGCCCCATTGAAAAGGTATGGGTCGTAGCATGATGATTGGTCGTCATCCGGAGACGTTGTGCGGGCCGATTGTTGTGCTTGCTGTATGAGAGTGCCTTCCAAGGCGGCTATATCGCAGCCATATCCAGTCAGCAGTGGCATAGCATGGCCTTCGTCCGACGGCTGCCTTACCTATTCGGGCTTTGAGGTCCTTCAGGTAGCCCGGCTTTGGCCCGCGAGCCGCCCGAACCGTTGTCGTGTGGCAGGGCACACCGGTGGCCTGACACGAACCACATTGAGGCTGTCTCCGGTCACATCTCAATTTTCTACGTCGACACTCCTCACAGGCCGCACCAGGCTTTTGTCGAGGTCGTGTTCGCTGGGTTGTATGGGAAGGGGAGCTGTCACGCGCTTGCGTCTTGACTGTCGTCGTGGAAGTCATGATGGGGTTTATATGTATGATATAGCCTAGTCTGAGGCAGTGCGCGGAAATTCCACCGAAAAAACCGGTAGCTGAATAGCTAAGTAGCTGTCCCGTGAGAAAAAGCACGCGTAAAAAGATGATCTGGAAGGATCGCCGTACAACCATGACCTAGTTGGAAAGGGCGTGATGCCTTTATTGTATTCGGTCGCCGAGACCCAGGGTGCACGACTGGGAGCAAACTTACAGGTTCGCAATTGTATTCCACTTCCAATGTAGCCCCTAGTTAGGCTATGAAACAAGACAGTACAGATGATAGTTCCCGTATTCCGCGGACGGGCTGAGGTTCTTTGACCACGATGCTACCTTGCTAGGACGGGGGCAGATCGTTATGCAACGGCAGTTGATGCTGTCTTGGCATGGACCCCCCGGGCCTGCATTCCCCACGAGGCTGATGGAAAACCTCCTTCGCCCTATCCCGATGCTACAGATGCTGGGTGGATGGAGCATGAGGTCGGTGCGCATAACCCGCAGCAAACATTGTTAAAGAGTCTTGTGCTACGTCACGCACGTTGTCCTTTTCACATGAAACTCTCGTGCAGAGGCTCTGGTGGTCTTGATCGTGCGTGAGCCTGTACTTTATCCCTGCAGCCGAGGATGTTGGCTGCCCTATCCTTCAGCGCCCCATCCCCGCTTGCTTTCCGCGAAAGTAGGCGTGAGCAGATCGATCCGCCATCAGGGATCGACGGCCAAGGTTCTGAGACTCTCATGTCGCCTCAGATCTTGGTTAAATATGTCCTATGCATCTACATGCACCTCCCACCCTCGCCAGAGATCATGCCCAGCCACTATGATGAATGACACAAGGGGCATGGTCCTAAGTGCATCAACGCACAATGCTTCTATTATGGTCTTCTGCAAAGTGGCTGGCACACTATCCCAAGTCGTTATGATAGCGCTCCCAAGTCTTGGATGGTGCTGTGGATACCTAGTAGACAAGTACCAAGGGAGTGAAATGTATCTGCTGTGTACTCCGGGGCTACCTAGGTATCGCTTGCTTGCGCGCCTGCGGCCCCTGAGCCGCGATGATGGTTTGGAGGTCACACGTGGTCGGGGGTTTGAGTAACCAATCGGCGTCCATGGCCTCCACATGATCCGGGGATCAAGACTGCTGACCCTCCGCCAGGCTCGCATAAGCTACGGAAAGCCGAGCAGGACCAAGTCAAGGGTCCCTTCAGCCAGCGAGTTATCCCGAGGGCTTTTGGGTTTGTTCGCTCGCCGTCCTCGCGCTAAAAGGCGGACGGGGACCATAGCACGATGTCGACGGACTCATGAGGCGTTTGGACCCGTTTGAAACATCCAGAGGAGAGTGTGCTAGCCATAGATTTAGATTTGGGTCAACTGGCGCCAGAGGCATGCCATGTCGCCGCGGCCTCCCATGTCCCTGTCATGGGGTAGGACCCTGGGAGCCGCATGCACAACGGTGGGGAAATCGACCGACGAGTAGTGCTAAAGCTCCTTCGGACGTGGGCCGGTTTGCCGTAGGCGCGAATAGGGCGAAGCTACTAAGGGTACTTCCCGAGTTTACATGCTTCCTCATGAAACCCTATCCGAGCGAGTCGCCAGCCAGACCAGCAACCCGTTCATGTACCCCACAAGCAGCAGAAATCAATTAAGACAGTCATTCAAGCTGATGCAATCAGAAAGTACCAAGGACATCGCGAAGCCTAATTCAGTGTGCGTGAAGTTAATGCTTCCCCTCCTGCAACTGGACATGTGGCCCAACAACCTTGGAAATACTGTGATGCCCAGAGAACCCGTTGGCTCGGTAATTAAACACGGCTGATCTTTGCCTCTATTCTTGGAACCTGTTTCAGGTTTGGGAGCTAAGACCACTCTCTTGGTACTCGGTCGACCACCACCTCCGTACATTTCTAGCAGTACCTAGGTATTGTGTCTGGGCGCTTGACATGGGAGTCTATTAAGTCGTACAAGAAGACTGTCGCACCGGACCCTAATAGGATGTTTAATTGCATAAAAGCTTGGTCACCAAATTAAGAAGCTTCTCCGGCATTACTAGAATAATATCACCGAAATTGACGTGACTTAAGCCCAAGTGCGTGACAAGTTTTAGCCAGCTTCATTTGAGCAACAAGAATTGTGACAGCTCCAAAACACGTTGCGCAGTGCAACGCCTTCCTGGCAAGGCTGCGGGCGTTCGAGGAAGCGCGCGCCCGTCGGATCTGAGCGCTCGAATCCCGCTGGCCTGCCTAGCATGGCTCTCCAGGTAGTTAGCATCTCGACAGCTGTCAATCATTCACAGGGGGGGCATAACCCGCAGGGATCGTGTGTTAGATCGCCCTCTGGATCGTTGGTGTCACATCGATCCCCTAGCCCGACGTAAAGCTTATTTTCCGATTCTCCAAAAACGTTGCATTTAGATCGTACCACCCTCCTGTCATGGACAATGCGACCTAAACAAAATCATCTCAAGAGCCTTCTTCAGCGCGCCTGGTGCAGCAACAGCCGACAGGCCACCGCCAGCACAGCTTGAATTGCCCCATGCGGTTGGAAACGTACAATGCCCAAGCATAAGGTTGGCGCAAGATCGAGCTAGCTTCGCCAGCATTGATGACCGGTCCCTCGAAATGTACAACTTTTTGAGCCGTCTGATCTGCACCTGAACTCTGCGGCCGCACAGCCCTTGCCGGCAATATAAGCTTAAGTCACCGTTACACCTCCTACGTGCCACAGTACCCTCCAGTACACCTATGTGGTACCGTCTGCACGTGATTTTGGGCCCATGGTGCCGACTGCCGGATCGTCCAAGGTATTGTCTGGTCTCAAGAGCTGTTTCCGCTCATGGGCGCCTGTCCGCGCAGCTCTCAACAGGTCGTAACTTTCCGCCCTTTCCCAGCGGGCCTCGGGAAGCGGATATCATATGCTATAATATCATACCTAGGTAGTGGAACATGGTGTGCAGGAAAATGGGGCGATTATTAGACAGCAGTTCAACCAATTGCCAGATCTTAGGCAGGGTGTGTGACCCCCCTACCGCCTGTATCGAGCCTAGGCGGCCACCCTGGAAACTGGAGCCCAATCAGAAACATGATCAGCAACCCCTAAATTCTGGGAACCTGGATGGATCCTCCAACTTGTTCCACCATGTGGCCCTGTTACGTGGGGTCGGATCTTGGTAGGCTAACACTGCCACCTAGGGTAGTAAGACGGAAAAGGACAGATGTTCCAACATTTGCGAAGATGTTTGGACCATTTCAAATCCATGCATGATTTTCCTGTCTTTGCAGACCCTTGGTCAAATCTGATCTTGTTAAATCCGCACTAGAGCCAAGATTATTGGGCATTATGGGCGACCTTGGCGCCACATCGTAGGGTTGTATGGAACATCGCCCGGATGCAGGTCTACGAAGCCGAGAATTGTTCGATTGCGAAATAAACTTAGATTCAACTGATTGATGTCTTGATTTGGGTGAAAGGAGTCCATAGGGTCGGAATCATGTTTTCCCCAATGCTGTTGCGGGAACGGCCCAACTGCTCTAGGTCTTGATATGCCGCGTGTTCCCAGATAGATACATACCCCTTTGTATCCTTTGCTGGTGGGCTGAAACTTGACAGGGCAGATCTTTGACACACGTTGGACCCTCGGCCGGGCGCTGCCTGTGCCCAAGATGAACATCGGAACCATCTCCCATTACAGCTATCCATCCGTTAGTTCATGTGTTGTTGTGCAAGAGCCCCCGAGGTACGGACGCCTGGGTCGTCCTAAGGCTGAGGATGTGCCATCATTGGATCCGGCATCAGCCGCTTCGCCTGACCCAGGACACTATATGCCCGGTGCTTGAATCTTATCTCAGATCTTGCAGATGGCGGGACGGTCTGTGTAAGCAACGGCCTCATCCGATTCCTTGCACCTAAAAGCTCCGCGAGCCTGGTCCACTTTGTCAACATTCTAACTTCGTCGAATATTCCGACGTGATCCAAATGGCCCGAGACTCCGTTGACAGCTTTCCGATCTCTCGATCTATGCAGTTTGAGCTTAACGTCCTCTTTCTTCAACTGTCTTCTTCGACAAACCATCACGCTGCGAGAGCATCAGAGCGGGTCGTGGGCGTCGGTGTTTTTGTCGCCCGCGGGCACGAGCCGGAATAACAGATCACATTTCGGTGGTACGGGCACCGAGGAAAGAACAATCATCGTCGATCGATTTGTTTGTTTTGCATTGTGAGCGAGAATCTGTTTTGTCTATGGACCCACTCCCCGAACACTGCCAGTGCTTGGGCAGAAAAGGATCCCACGATACTCAGGACGCCAGTAAAACGCCAACCTGAACTCCGAGAAACCATAACACCAATTCGCCGCTTCCCGCCACGCACAAACAAGAAAATGCCCTCAGAAACTCCTGGTGAGAAGCTTGCACCAATGCCGAGGTAACGCAGTGGCGGCTCCGCGACGCTCAGGTCGTCGCAGGCGTCACATCGTCAGCTCCACCGCGCCTGGGAGGCAACGAGTCATGCTCACCGCGCTCCCGGGCCAGACACAGGCCGACACCTGCCACCCTCACCCAACTCGTTCGCTAAAGAAGCACTGGCAGCGGCAGCCAGCCAGCCCATTTACGCCTCAGTCCTCGGCGGCCACTTCACCCTCCTCTCAGCGCGCACGTAGAGGTTCGTGGGCCGTATGAGCTGGAACATGGGGTCGTAGTCGATGGCGCCCTCGGTGGCGAGGCTGAACTGGTAGCGCCACACGAGCTTGCACAGGAAGATGCGCACCTCCTGCAGCGCAAAGTTGAACCCGATGCAGCCGCGGGGGCCCGTGGCGAAGGGGATATAACTGTTGTTGGGCTTGTTGCGCACGCGATCGGTGTCCCAGCGGTCCGGGTCGAAGCTCGCCGGATTGCCCCAGATGGCTGGGTTGTTGTGGATGTGGTGCAGCGCCGGGATCACGATGGAGTCCTTGGGGATCTTGTAGCCGCCTGGCAGCACGAGGTCGCACTTGGCCGTGCGTGCCGGCTGGTATGACGGGTTGTGCCGCCGCTGCGTCTCCTTGATGAAGTGGTCGAGGAAGGGCAGCTTGGCCGTCAGGTCGGCCGTCACCTCCGTCTCGTCGGTGAAGTCGTTGTCCACGAGCTCCTGCAGCAGGCGCTCCTGCATGCCCGGGTAGTTGACCATGCCGTAGATAAGCCAGGACAGGAGGGAGCTGGTCGTGGTGAAGCCGGCGCCGGTGGCGACGACCAGTGGCTCCAGGACACGGTTCGTCGGGAGCTTGTTGCCCTTGTTGTCGGTGGCGCGCAACACATAGTCAACCATGTTGTTCGCCTTCAACGCCGCCTCCTGCAGGTCCAAGTCCTCGATCCCCCTCGATGCACCAGCAATGACCTCCTCGATCATGACCCTCATGCGCTCCTTCGCATCGTATAACTTCTTCGGGTCGCCAAATGGGAGATGAGCATACCAGCTACCCATCGATGTGATCTTCTTGTTCAGCTCCAGGGATGTGGCCATGAGGATCACCATCTCGTGTGGTGGCGCGTCTACCGAAGCGAAGTGGTTGAAATCCATGCCAAGGATCAGCTTGCCGACGGCCTGTGAGCCGAGCTTCAGCATGTAAGAGTACACGTTCCATGCCTCATCGCGATCTGCGAGTTCGTCGAAAACCTTGAACGCATCCTCAACAGTCTGGTTCATGGTCGGGGCATAATGACGCACTGCCTTTGGCCCAAAAAATGGAGGCAAGAACTTGTGTGCGACTTTCCATTCTTCCGTGTCCGTGTCACCCAGGAAGACACCAGCCTCGTTGTTCTTGATGGGGTAGAGGGGGTGTCCTGGGATGATATCCTTGGTGAAAAAATCGTTCTCTGAGAAAAAGATACCTGCAAGTGCGGGATCATTTGTAAGATATGTGGTCGAACCCATGTTGTTGGTCTTGAAGATGGGGCCATATTTCTCGAATAGCCGCTGGTGGTTTCCGAGATGGTCGGGGTAAATCTCAAAATAGTTGCCGACATATGGCAGACCCTTGGGCCCCTGGACCTCACGGACCCCACGCCCGTCAATAGTAATAGCGACTGGGCCTTGTGCATCTAGTACGTCCGCCACCGTTGAGTACGCCTCACGATCGTTCACGAACCCGATACCTGGTGACAATAGTGAGTATTGGGCGGCCAACCAGAAATCTTATGTGTCCCAATGCATGCATACCTTTTGCGCCGACAATGGCAAAATGTGATGCAACCAGTTGCCTGAGTTCATCCTCGTCGACTGCTGAGGGAATGCTGATCTCTCGTGCTGTGGAGACATCCTCGCCAAGCAGATAGAACTGCTTGGGCACAAAGTCGGGTCTCATCTTGGCTGGTTCTGGTTGCTGTAGTTATCTGGACGGGAATCTAAGTGGAATTGGAGGAGAGCAGCCCAGTTGTTTGAATGATAAAAAATATGTTGTTTTGATGGGCTGGGATAATAATAGCACACATGAGCCATGAGCTCAAGATGATTGGGAGCGGCGATATATAAATGAGTCCGGGCTGGGCGCGGGAGCTTCATATCGTCGCTCAGGGGCTCCCTCCGTTGCCGAACCATGACAACATTCTGGAAACCCCATGGCTGCAGGCATACGTATCTCTACCATGCCGATCCGGCCCTGTAAGACAAAACCTTCGGCATTATTAATTCTACAAAATCCACTTGCCGAGGCGTTGAACGGGACGGTCTTCGCGAGAAAAGGGCGAGTCGAGGTGTCGCTGTGTGGACCCGGACAAGGCGAGATTCACGCAATGCGTGTGCTTGCAGTGGTGCTGAAAATATCCTACAGAAATTTTCAGTGGACCCAGGCAGACCCTTGCGGTGCCCTTCAGGTTTGCCTCGGCTCGCCGGCGCTGGAGAGCAAAATGATGCCCGATTTCCGCAAAAAACCAAGGCCACACGAATGGCAAACCTGGCGCGTGGGTAGTGTAACTCGGCCAGCTCACTGTGCTCGCGTCATGACGTAGGCCGACGCAGAATTTTGGCGAGGGCCGAATCGCACGAAGCCAATCCCGGGCCAGTAGATTTTTTGGGATTGCCAAAACCTCTCTTGAAGCCCCTGCCGTCGCCCGTTTCGTGGCCCCGGGTGCTTCCGGATCTGGCCGTCGCCTCGGCAGATCGATTGTAGGGTTGCAATCTAGCTTATAGAGCCTCGGCGTCCCACTGTAAAATCGAAAGGTTCATCCCTGACTAGTTTTGAGGGTCCGATACGCACAGCCCGGTGGACAGGGTGTGATAGGGGACTTCTTGCTGGCCAGGTAGTTTTGATATTCCGCTTCCATTTATATACAAGGCCACTGTCAGAACTCATCGTCGACAATTTTATAGCATACTGTGAATAGGCCTCGTCTAGAGAAACATTACTTTCCAAAGTCTTTCTCACACTTTGCTTTGGAACACTCAGTACACTATGTCTGTAGACACAGAATATACGGCCAAAGATGTTGCCGCCCATCGGGGGCCCGAAGACGCCTGGATGGTCATTAACGGCGAGGGTGAGCAGCACCAAGACGAAGGGAACGATCACAGCCTGCTAACAATGAACACACAGTCTATGATCTGACCAAATATCTGGAAGAGCATCCTGGTGGCGCGGAGATCTTGGTGGAAGCTGCCGGAACAGACGCAACTGAGGCTTTCGACAACGCCGGTCATTCTGAGGACGCGTTCGAGATCATGGCCGATTTCCGCGTCGGCAAGCTTAAGAGCGCCGGAAAGCCTGCAGCAAAACCAGTGCGTGTGACACTGCAGACACCACCAGCGTCGAAAAAGTCAGGCACCAGCGCATCAACAGCAGTCGGCGGGGCAGTCGTGTCTCTAGGTGCTCTGGCCGGAGCCACACTCGGCCTGCGCAGGATGGATCTGTCAGCACTATCAAATCTTCTCAAGCTCAGACAAGCTCAGGGCTCAAGAAGTGGGAGCGGATTCGGGTTTGTAGAGGGCTTCATTATTGCAACAGCACTTGCACTCGTTGCAGGAGGCGTGGCGGTCAGGAAATTCTCTCAACTGCTCGATATGGAGTCTGGCGCGCTTCACCACGCAGCACACAAGAAGATCCCAAGAGTAGCAAAGGCAGACCCTCTGCTGCAGCGCGGCTTTTTGGACCCGCAGACATACCACCCCCTGCCCCTGATTGAGAAGGAGCTCGTCACACCAAACGTTTACAGACTCGTGTTCGAGCTGCCAACACCAGACGCCGTTCTGGGCCTGCCGATCGGCCAGCATGTGGCCATCAAGACGACGATAGACGGCGCAACGGTTCAGCGATCGTACACACCCGTATCCAACAACTCAGACAAGGGTATCCTGGAGCTCGTTATCAAGGTATACGACGACGGCCAGCTCACCGGCAAGTACCTGAAGCACCTGTCCGTCGGAGATGAGGTCATGTTCCGCGGTCCCAAGGGCGCCATGCGGTACACGAGGGGCCTCTGCAAGAAGATCGGCATGCTGGCAGGAGGCACAGGGATAACACCCATGTACCAGCTTATCCGCGCCATCTGCGAGGACGAAAGGGATACGACCGAGGTCAGCCTCATCTACGCCAACCGGTCAGAGGACGACATCCTGCTGCGCAAGGACCTCGAGTCCTTCGCCAGGCGATACCCCAAGAACTTCAAGATGTTCTACCTGCTAGATAACCCTCCGGAGAACTGGGCATACGGCACGGGATACGTCACCAAGGAGCTCATGGCGGAGAAGTTCCCCGGTCCAAAGGAGGACGGCTCCAGGGTTATGCTTTGCGGGCCGCCGGGCATGATCAACGCCGCGAAGAAGGGATTGGTCGAGCTGGGGTACGAAAAGCCCGGGGCTTCGTCAAAGATCACGGACCAGGTCTTCTGCTTCTAGGCTAGCGAAATCTGAAACTCGACACTTCGATAGGAGGGTCACATTGTCGCAATTGGGCATCGGAGCTACCCGCGTGTTCCGCGGGGCGCGTGATAGGAAGATTGGGTCAAGTTCAAGGTCCGATTGGGGAACACTAGATGTTGATTGGGCGTCATTATGGCTTCAAACGGGACGTTGCATTAGCTGGCGTCTAGAGGGTGGTTGCATTTCGTAAGGCTGGACTAGGATTGGAGTTTTGAGAAACTTTACCCACCTTCCTAGGTACCTATATTCTAGATGATAATTCTATCACGAGAGATCGCACAATTCCGGCCGTAAGTCTCTCCAAGTACTCGCTACTTAAGTACATCCGCAAGTCTCTGTCATTCGAGCACTTCACCCCACAGCTAACGCAACGGTCTTCCAACCGACCAAACCTTCTTCTGTTAGCCTTAACCAGTATCGTCACCCCCCCAACTCGATTGGCATATTGCACTGGCATCTTGTAAATGTATCGTCACAGTAGATCTATCCTTTTTCTATTAAAGTGTTTCTCTTCCAAGGTTGTTGGCAAGCACGGATTTTAGACGATGTCATGGACCTATAGGTAGACCCTGTGGCCAACCCCTGAGATGCCACGACTCAACGTTAAACAAGGGATCATCATGTACTCAGGAACAAGACAAACCAGACCAATCAACCCTTCACACTTCTGTTGGGATTGGAATTGAGGTGTCTGGATGAAGTTCAGCAATCTAGCCGCACAGACGCTCGGGGAGACAGCTGACAGGCGCCTATTTCAGGCGTGGCCAAGGACGAGTGTATACAATGCAGCACACCACTGGCATAGGGGATTGTCATGTAGTATAGATGGAATCCACAGAACACATGACGACACCACGTGGGGGGGGGGGGGCAGACTTCCAAGGTTCTCTTCCGACTCAGTGGGCTGCATGTCGATCACACATAGCAGCGCATCATACTATGTTAGGCACTTCACGATCCAATATAGCTAGATTTTCGTACCAAGAAAATAAGCTTCACGTGGTACACAAGCAACTAGGGACCCTTTCCCTTTTTATCACTAGTGACCAGCTGATGGTGCCATCTTCCTTGATTTATCCGCCGTTGCGCGTTTCAACGTCAAAATACCGAGTACCTAGGTAGAAAGTCATCAGTATGCTCAAAGCTGTTAGTGTCCATAGTGACCCTCTTGACAAATTACCTAGGTACTGACTGTGACGGTATCTCGAATAGTATACTATAGGGCTAGTTCAAGCTACCAGATGCAATGCAACCAACCCACTCAGTGGCATTATGCTCGATGCATACTCGGGTGGTACTACGAGCCGCTGTAGACTGTTAACTGCTAATGCGACGTGAGAGCATTTATCGGTGAGGCTGCTCTGATTTTCACAGATACAGGTTTAGTTTGCGCTCCCTAATTCAGTTATTTCAGACCAATTGGTGGCTTTGTTGTCTGAGCCAAAACAAGGATATCCAGCAATATTAGGGATGTATAATAGAGCTTGGTAGTTGCACCGCGAGACGATAAGGTCGCGGTGCCTAGACCTTGGAGCCTAGATCTTGGAACCTAGAAATACGCGGGTAGGGCCGTACCAAGTCATCGAACCTTACGACACACACGAAACAGAAAGCCCCGACCAACAGCACAAGCGCGTTAGCCACTGAATCACCCGCTTTTGGAGGTCCGGCAAGAGGGGAATTTTATGATTGGGGCGCATACACTACGTCATAATAGGCAGGTGTACCACACGGCGAGGAAAGTAAGTTGAACAAAGTTTGCGCCGTCGACGGCTGTATCAGCTTTACAAGATCACCAAGTATTAACACGTCGCCAAGCACACCCACCCGCGATCCCGGCGCGAGGGGGGTGACAGGGGCGGGAAGCTAATAAAGACGGCTACATACCAAACTTTTTGCCTAGAACAGATCTCCATCTGATACTTCCGAGGAACATGCGGCTGTGGCAGCACCCACAATCGCCTCCCATCGGTGCGCCTTCCGCCCACCCTCGGAACTGGACAGAAAAGTCACTGCCCACTGGAAAGTGGGTCCTCCTGGCCAGGTGATGCGTGGACGACGTCCCTTATGTATCGTCCAGGGAATGAAGATACTTAGGTACGCTTCGATTGGCGCCCGAGCCAATTTGTGTACAGGCTGATGCACCACTGAAACAACAGCTTGATTTAATCAGCTGAGAAGCTTGACGAGGTTTTAAAGTTCGCCCAGGTTGATGCCAAGTTGGCCAGATCTATATCCGGGTAGGGGAGATGTAAGTGCATCTTGTCGAGGAGCACCAGTAACCCTATTTTTCTGTTAATCGCATACGGTTTGATGGTTCTGCGGGTCATGTGTGCTGTTGCATCTTTGATTTTACGCCGAGTATGCTGCCTAATAAGTCGATGTACTATGTCTGTCATGCCTATACTTGGGTATTAGCAAGGTCGTGTAAACGTGTACCGGCGATGTCACGGATGGGCCAGAAACGGTTCTGCCCATGGTATATAGCACAGCACCAAATCCCAAAGCATCATAACAATTTGAGTGAGGTGGTGAGCGTGGAGAATTTACGCATGTGGTATAGAAACAAATTAGGTAACCGTCAGGCTTGGCATTCCAGTCGATGGTTAGACAAAGTTTCGAGAGCCAACGAGGTTTGCCTTCTTGTTCCTTGCCTTAGGGTCGGAGAGAAGTCCTACCATGAAGACGAAGAAAAAAATTAGGAAGAGATTAGGTGCCATCCATTGCCGACAGCAATGCAGCGCAGGGGCCTGCCATATGCACAGCTGAGAGCACCGGCAATGAATTCGTCTCTCACGGCAATGCTAATTAGGGACGCACCCATCGTGTTGAGTGAGCAGCGGCAAGCAGCATGCTTCCCCGAGGATCTTCTAACGTTGTGCATCAAATTTTATCTCTTATTATGCACCATGAATCTCGCAAAGCTTGCTCGTTGTCGTGTCCTGGGTTGCGAGTACGACCTTGAAGCAGTTGAATGTTTCGATTATCACCCGATACTGATCGCGACCATCCGAAGATCCTGTAACTAGTGCTGTCCAGCAAGATCTTTGGATTAGCTTTGCCTGGCAGCTGAGCATCAAAGCGCTGCTATGGATTATGCAGGATCGTTCTTACCAGTCCATTCATTCTCGTGGATACAAAAATTGGGATGAACCTTTCGTATCCACTTCGAGCCATTACGAGTTGAGATGCACTGAATTTCCCTTCTTGTCAAGCTTTGCCTTTTTTGAAGAAGATATTTTAGTTGCTTGGGAATTCGTCGGCCGTTCTTGTAACTCTCACGTGATGATATTTGGCAGAGATCCGCCGATTTATTACAAGACAGGTGACTCCCTGTGCTTTGGCCCTGTGGTAGAATTGAGAGTCTTGCGAGTTTGTCCAGCGAACCTTTGTAAGACGCATCGGCAGTAGACGCCACCAAACCGGATACATGCTGACCCTGAAGTCCTCTCAATCATTATAAGATGTTGCATAAGCTGGGAGGTGTGTGTTCCAATGAGTAAAAAGCCACCATGCCGCAGCATGGGGGACAGTCCCGAGGTCAGGCCAAATCCTATGTTCTAGACGAAGAAACTGTAGATCATTGTCTAAACGTCGTAAATGCCCCCACCAATGTCCCTAATTGTTTTTTCCCATGAAACTTGTGCCTGACCACAGCCACCAAATGACACCAATGAAAGATTCCTGGACGGCTCCTTGAATACAGCAACTAAGAAGAGCGGCTTTCCCGCCACCTGCTGTTCAAAGTCGGGTTTATATCATTTCTTGAAGCAATTGATTAAATCAAGAAATTGCCAACAGAGCGTGTTCATGTTCATGTTGCAGTCTGCCACAATCTCTTTAAGCATTTCTTGCTCGGGACTTCGAGGAAGAGGTTTCACCAAACAAGATATGGGCTGAGCACTAATAAGAGCGTTATATGGTACCCCGGCCTCGGCAGTCTTTTAGGAGGAAGTGGTAGTTACATAGGTACTTCACATCTACACTGAGGAAGGGTGTTTCTTTAATTCTAAAGATCCCAGGCAACCGCGAGATTCCCTTCCGTAAATCACCTTCTGGGTCATTGGCCCCACGGGGTGATTGAGCTCTCAAATCGCCTCTAGGGGCTTTCGAGAAGAACCGCTCCCGAGTTCCTCGGATCGCGAAGCATTCGGGACCGCAATGCTGGGATGGTGATCCGTTCGCTATTGCGCCATTGCTCGCTCGCTAGGCACGATTTAATCGTAGCTGGCTGGGTGGGTCTGAAATACCTTCTGGTATTATGGTCCTGGATGAGTCTCCACAACATCATGAGACAGACGATACGCGCTTGTATGGGGGGTGTGGTTGGTCGCAGCGCAACCGAGGACCTGGCCAAGAAGACCGCCAGGCAAGACTGACAAGCTTCCCAGCGGGATGTCCCACCTTTAAACATCAGTTCTACCTCATTACAAGAGACCACAGCGCCCGGGATGTCCTCATGGAAGCTGTAAGCATCGCTCATGCGCCTCGGGCGTTGGTCGAAGTGAAGAACGATGGGACCTGGCTTGCGACGGACTCCATCTCTGGGCTGTACCATGATCCAGAAGTCACTAGGAGCAGACTGAGAGAATACTGCCACAAAAAATGAAAAAGGCAGCGGAAGATGTTGCTGTTACTGTGGGATATTTCCCCGTGCCCACGCGACAAATGTTATCCATCGCAGCGAGGTCGCTGAGTTGATAGGTCGAGCGACTGTCAGGAGATCGTCTGTGTGAAATGGAAGGGTGAAGGGTCGGAGGAGAGCGCGGCGAAGCAGTCACTAAATTCGTGCTGGCGAGCAGCGCGCAGGAACCCAGACCAGAATAGCAGAGCTGAAGGCCTAGAGTGTGGAGAGGCTACCTACCTACTTGCCTCCGAGTGTTACGCGGAGATCGCTGCTCTCACGTCTCTAATCACCAGGACTCATGGTTGAAAGTACTGAGGATACGCCGCCATCCACCGCTGGTATAGTGACGAGTGACAGGGACAGACCTGACCCAACAGGCCAAGAAAGAAAAGGAAGGCGCCGGCGCATTCTCTGAATACACCTCGAGTACTGATAAAGACCGCAACGGCGAGCGGATGGGCATCTTCTCACATGTCAGAACCTTAGGGGTACAAGATGGTGGCGTTGAGGAATTCCAGACCCTTGTCCACGTCACATGCCTCTCAATGAACTCAATTGATGGATGTAAATGCTCGTGACCTTGCATTGGGCTCTGTCTTGTACCTAGTGACGACCGCAACGCATATGCAGTACATGCTTCGCAATGATATATGCACTTTTGAGGATACCGGGAACCAAACACCGACCGTGTCATGAGTGTCAACAGCCGCGCAAAAACTCAAACCGAGGATGACACCGCGCAAACCGTGCTCCAGGTAGCAGAGTGTAGCCCACTCCTCCTGTCCAAGTCCCTATGCCACAAAAGCATTCCCACCCAGCCCGGACCAGAGATGAAACAGGGTCATTGACAAACCAGACCAGACCAAATCAGACCAGACCGTTCCGCTTTTTCTTTTTTTTCCTTTTCTCTTTCATTATTCATTCTCGTGAACCATCCCACTATTAAGAACAGAGCGCAGGCGGTCATGAGATCAAATCTACCAACCTTCCTGGTACAACTTGGAGAACGGCCAGTCGGAGTCCCCCAACTCCACAAAGTCCACAGGCGAAGGAGTCGTTGACTCGGCCGCTGTGATGTGTATTAATGTAGCCTGCTGGCTCGCACGCTCGGTGCGCCAGGTTGTGTCTGGCTGCTGATTCAAGTGATTTTGTACACGGGATCGGCGGCGATGGCGATCCGCTGTCTGAGGAGGTATATCACGACCTAGCCCTCGTCTCCACCGCAGGTAGCGCTGGCGCACCCTCTAGGATGACGCCTCGGGGGCGTCGCGGCGGGGACCACCTCGTCCCCGCGCTCCGCCACGTCCGCGGCCACGGAAGCCATCTCCACGGAAGCCGCCTCCACGGCCACGGCCACGTCCTCCGCGGTTACCGCCGTCGCGGTTTCCACGGCGCTGGACAGACTGGAAACCATCGTTGGGATCGGTAGGAGTCGAAGCCTGGCCAGAAATGTCAGTCGCCCGAGTTATTCGGGATGGGTATACCTCTCTACGTACCTCTGGCGTGGTCTCTGGGTGATCGTCAGCCCAGGATGCGGTGTTAGCGGCAGCAGGCGCAGCGGCGGCGGCGGCGGCGGGCACGGCGGGAGCACTCTCGGTCGGGACGGTCTCAGCTGGTGCCTGTACCTCGACCCACTCCTGGGAAGTGGCCAGATCATTGCCGGCGTCCCACTGGCTCTCCGCAGCGGCGTTCGCAGCAGCGTCGCCGACATCAGCATTTGGGATTGTGCTGTCAGCAGCAGCCTCCTCCTGTTGCCCGTTTGTCAAAGCGGTGTCGGTGCCAGCATCAATCTCGGTCAGGCCAGCGTTGGCAACGGTGGGATCGGTCTGAACGGGTTCGGCGGCCTCAACGGGCTCGGTCTCAGCCTCGGAAGCCGTTTGGTAAAGCGGGGCCGAGTGGGCGGCAGCTGACGCCTTGACGGTCGCGTCTGTGAAGAGCCAGTCAGAAAGCAGCTTACAGCAATCTAGACATATTTTGTAAACTCACAAGTTGTCTCGAGGGTCTCGCCGTGAACGGAGGCAGTCTTGTCCTCGGTTCCTTCGCAAAGCCGCAGCATGACATTCACAGCGGCCTCGTCACCACCGTAAACACCGAGCAGGATGCCCTCCAATGCCTGGTCCTCATCCTCTGTAGATTCGGGGGCTTCCGCCCGTCGGTGGGCAGCGAGACGCAGGAATTGGGACAGGACCAGGAGACCATCGTGCAGCGACTTCTTCGCATCCGCCTCGGCCTGCTTCTTGACCTCGGCGACGGCGTCTGCCTTGTCCTGCTCGAACGACTTCTCGATATCGGCCTTAACAGAGGCAACCTGGGCACGGTACTCTCCGTCAATCTTCTCGTACTGGGCCAGCTGTTCTTCGAGTCTTGCAACCTCGGCCTTGAGCGAGTTGAGGTTGTCGACTTGCTTCTTCTGGTCGGGGTTGATGATCTTGAGCTGGACAAGCTCCTCGGGTGTCTTGCCTTTGGACTTGTGCTCGTCGACCAGAGCTTGGGTTTTGGAGGCGTTGCCCTGTGCAGGAGTGTTGGTCAGCTTGTGCCGTGCAAGGTCAGACGGAGGGGGTGATTACTCACGATCTTCTTGTTGGTGTTCCGAATGCCCCTGGCACGTGCAAGTTAGCTGCTGCCCCGCAGACCATGTTGGGGTGCGGGGGCGAGTTACTCACTTCTTCAGCTCGCGAATATAAGCATTCTCGGAGATATCATTGTTTCCGGCGACAGAAGCAGGCTGGTCGGGAGTGGCAGCTGGGGCAGGAGACTCGGTGCGCTCGGCAGCGGCGGCGGCGGCCTTGGCCTTCTTCTTCTTGGAGGACTTGGACTCGGATTGGGCGGGGGGGTTCTGGACAGATGTGGCAGCCATTGCGAGAGTGGGATGAGCGATCTCGGTGACAGCTAGACGGGCAGGTTGGTTCGGGTTGGGTCGGCACAGGACACACTGTTGGTTGCCAGTATGTGCTGCGGTGATGTGGCTGGTGCAGTGGGTTTGGTGATTGACACGATCGCCTTACAAGCACGAGGATGCTTGAAATCGGTGCAGTGCTGGGAGATGTCACAGAGTTTTTTCTCGAGATGGCTCGTACAGAGGAGGATTGGAGTGCTTAGGAAGATTCCTTAGGTATGGGTGAGTGTGGATGTTTGCGGGGGTTCTTGTCCAGGTTGTTCGGTTTGGTGGTTGAGCTGGGCTGAGGGAGCTGTCGAGGCTGCAGGTCAAGTGGAAATTTTGAAGTGGGCGGCGTCTGATGTCGTTGGCCAGTGCCACCCTAGTCTGACCCACTGTGAGCGAAACGGGTCTGGCAAGCAACTTTATTAGGCATCGACCGTTTGCAGTCTACGGAGGTACTTCAATTGATGCTACCGATTTCGTGGTCATGGCTTCTCGGCCTCTTCAACCATGACCCATGCTCGTATTTTTCAATGAGCGTACTACGTACATATCGGAACTTGTGTGTCGCATCCGACCCAAGTCAAGCCTGCACATTCCTGCAGGAATCTATTCCGTCCTTCAGGACCTAGGTGGTAGCTCCAGTAGCTCCCGCTGTGGGCCCGGCGTCTGCTAACACGCCGCCCTCCTCATCCGGCCAATGGTGCATACATGCAGCCCAAGACTGGCCCTTCAGCCTCAACGGAAGGTGGAGTGTGCTCGTATGCTGGATGCGGCCAGCCACCGCACATCTTCTATCTGCACCTCAGATCGCGTTGCCGACATGCTATGCTGTGGTGTGTTGGGCGAGGAGGGTCTGTGCTCTTCTCCAAGAAGAAATGGTTAGGCACGCGACCATGACTTGACGCGTGAGGTTTGGGGGGATCGACAGCTGCGTCGAGGCCCCTTCACCCCTTGAACTTTGCAAGTGTATTCTGTTGCGCAGAGACACGTCAGCGATCTTGACTGGCGTCGCCTGGACATAGGATGGCCCTTCTTACTCCTGTAGTCTTCTTGACACTCCTGGCTGTGATGCCCCTCTCGCCAGCCTGCTTCGACTCGATTCCCGCCTCTTTCACCAGCCTGTCTATTCCGTCAGTCGTTGAGCTCGTGAAGATCGGTGGTGGGATAGGGCGCAGCGCACGTTTGCATGAAGATGACATAGTCGAGGAACATCTGCGTATCACCAGAGGTCAAGGTCAGCGCGTACAGACTCCAAAACGCGTCGGGTTCTTTGGTGTCCAGCTTACCGTCACGTCGACATTCTTGCTGACATTGCAGTTGGAGTGGGCCTTGACGATCTTTTTCACCGTCGCGCGAGGGTACATCTTCTGTCCTGGCGCCATCTCGTCGTCTTGCTGCGTGCCCGATGTCAGTATCGGTCGATGGGTGTTGGCTGGTTCGCAGGCGAGCTTTGTCAGGTCGATGCTGTTGCCGTATGCGGTCCGAGCTGTGCTTGTTGACTTTCGGCCGCTTCCTTCCTTGCACACCAACACCCCCAACCCTCCAATCGGCAGCAACAATTCGTTTTAGCGGGCCCTGCCAATCACACCCCGACGTCATCCCGTTAGCGCAGGCCGTATCGAGACGGATAGTACTGTGCTCGCACACCGTCCCCGCATCTGCCCGTTCAAGAGAAAGCCAGGGTGGAAGAGCTTGGGGTCCAAATTTAGAGAGCCCTAGAGCCAGAGCCAGAGCCAGAGCCTCGGAGGAGCGTGTTCTCCAGATCTCGTCGTCAAGCACCACGCCACAGCAACCGCCAAGATGCAGAGACGAATGGTAAGACACAGTTCCAGCTTGTTGTTGTCGGTCAGCCCTGGCTAATCAAATTTCTTTCGTGCAGCTCACGAAAGAAGACGAGCAGGCCGTCGGCGACGAGGTCGAGGTCAGACGCGAGGACCAGGACAAGATCAACAAGTTCAGCCGGCTGCACCAACGCGAGCTCAAATACGAGGAGGACCTCAAGATCAAGAGCGTGCGCCACCGACCCCGGCCTTCGATCACTGCGCGGAGAGACGGAGGAGCTGACAGCCCAAGCAGAAAGAGAAAGAAGAGCTCGACGACATAACCATGGAACTGGAGCTGGCCGACGAGGACGACAAGATCCCGTCAGTACCAAACCACAGCACGTGTCACACCTTGCCCCTGCTGATATGCTTCTTCTACGCAGCTACAAAATCGGCGACTCGTTCTTCCACGTCACGGTATCACAAGCACAAGAAATGCTCGAGGCATCTACAACCAGGATCGAGGAGGATGTATCACAATTGGAGGACAAGCTCAACGCAGCTCGCGAGGAGATGACACAGCTCAAGGTCGAGCTCTACGCACGGTTCGGAAAGAGCATCAACCTCGAGACATAATCAACAATATGATACCCATCCGCACCGCCTTCCAATAGTTGTCTGCGCGCCACCGGGGAAGCCTCCTCGCACTGAACTCTGCCATATCGCCCAAGGGCCCTGATCCAAATACATCCGATCGTCAGATGAGATGGGGTGGGAACCCGCCATACAGGGCTCCGGCTCGCAGGAGTACTGGAAACAATCCTGTGCCTAGCAATATTTATATTGCCACTGACCCACCACGCCCCCTGAACAGCTCAGAGCGCTTCAAGGCCTTGTGGGCGCCGACATCGCTGGGAAGGGGATATTCTTGTCCGGTACCAGGGGCTTTTTCAGGCAAAGGGCGCACGTCAAACGCCCCAAGGACAGCCCTTGTGTGCTGTTCGGCTGGCAGTCGCCGAGAATATCCGTCCAAACTTGGACACACACATATGCAGGCGCACACATCCACACCCTTCTCCGGCTCTAGTCTACATGATGCCTAGTAGCGGGCCGGTGTCACGGCAGTGGGCAACTACTGCACTGCGACAAGTGCCCGGTGGGCACTTTTAGTTTGGACGATCGACTGCTCCCCCAATCATCTGCTTTCTGTTGCTTCTTTACCCACGGTAATAAAAGGCCTCTTTCACGTTACGCCCGGTTTTACAACGGGTCGCGGCTCGCCTCCAAGCTGCAGGGCGAGTCATCAGCCCCTCCGAGGGTAGGAACCACCTTCACGGCCGCGGCAATCGGCACGCCCAACCTGGCAATGCACTTAGTAAACTGCCGAATAGCCACCATCATGGATGAACAAACACGGGCATTTTCCACTATTCAACAGTATTGCCTCTGGCATTTTCCGCCGCCCACATTTCGATTTGTAGTGTTTGCCCCCTGCTTCATGCGTTGAAATGGGTCCGACGCCCCCTATATCACATATAACATTCGCCGATACTGCATGATACCAATTAAGGAGCTCGCATCTCGTCTACGCCGTCCGTCCCTGGCTTGCACCAGCACAATGCATTGCAATAACAGCAACGAAGACGCCGGTTCCCAAGCCAGTCCTCTCAGCCGTAAGTAGTCACGCTGCCTAAAGCAGTGGGCTGGTCTTGTGAATAATCCGACTAACAGTTTCAAGGTGGTGAAAGCCGTCTACAACGGTTCGTTAGTGTGACTGGCGATGAGGACGCGAGATCTCGGTATCGCGAGGAAGAAGCAGACAATAATGTTGCGCAACATAATCATGGGTCAATATCATCCGGCCGTGATGACCGGAGCATTATAGCTTTCGAGCCTAACGACCCCGAGAACCCATACAACTGGTCCAAGGTAAGCCGCCGTCTTCTTCTGTAGTCATAATGCAGGAACTTACAAGAGCCGCAGGGAAGGAAAGCTTTTATAGTTTTCACGAGCATGGTGACAGTGGTCAACTCGACGATGGGCAGCGCCCTACCGAGCAACGCCATTCCATATTTCACGAGGGAGTGGGGGGTCACCTCACAAATGCAAAGCACATTACCTATTGCCATCTTCCTTGTCGGTATGTTCTAAGAACTGGATATGTAGTGTCCATTGGTGTGTACTTGACTGTGGCGCTGACTGGAAACTTTCCTGTAGGATATATCTTCGGTAAATTAAGCCCGGTTCTGCGATGGTTGAAGATTGTCATCTAACCTTTTCGATCGTCAGGCCCAATAGTGTGGGCACCATTGTCCGAGCAGTTCGGTCGGCGGTACCTTATCGTCGGGACCTTTGTCATGTTCTGCCTGTGGACACTGGCTTGCGCACTTGCGCCAAACTGGCCAGCCTTCCTCGTCTTCAGGCTGCTGGTCGGCATCTTCGCCAGTGCCCCTATTGCGCTCGTAGCAGGCATCATGGCAGACGTCTACGGCGACTATCGCACGCGGGGACGAGCAATGTCGTCCTTCTTTGCAGTAAGCCCTATTCCTTCTGTGACCCAGTACCGGCAGCCGAATTGGAGCCTTCCGGCCCTCGCTGACAGCCTTGACCTCTGTGACCAGGCCACCGTCTTCGGCCCGCTCTTCGCACCAATCATATCCGGCTTCTGCTCTCCCAGAATCGGTTGGCGATGGACCTTTTGGATCGGCCTCATCTACGCAGGGCTGTCCCTGATCCCGCTGATACTATTCCCAGAGACGTACGGGCCCATCCTCCTGGTCCGGCGGGCCCGCAAGATCCGCAAGCAGGACCCAAAGGCCAACGTCGTCGCGCCGCACGAGCTCGAGGCCGCGGACCTGCGCCAGCTCGCCGTGCGCGTCCTCACCCGCCCCGTACGAATGCTATTCTTCGAGCTGATAGTCTCGGCGACGTGCTTCTACCTCGCGCTGTGCTACGGCATCTTCTACATGACCTTCCAGGCGTACCCGATCATCTTCCAGGGCGTCTACGGGCTGAGCCCCGGCGCCGAGGGGCTCTGCTTCCTCCCCATCGGGGCCGGCGCCATCTGCGCGCTGCCCGTGTTCTTCGGGTGGGACGCGTTTCTCGAGAAGGCGCAGCGCGAGGGGAGGCCGTGGACCAGGAAGGAGGAGTACCGCCGGGTCCCGCTCGCCTGTATCGGCGGGCCGCTGTTTGTCATCAGCCTGTTCTGGCTTGGGTGGGCGAGCAGGCAGGACGTCCCGTTCTGGGTGCCCATGTTGGCTGGTATACCGTTCGGCATGGGTTTCCAGCTGATATTCATGGCATTGGTATGTGTACTGTCTCCCACTCATGCGCCGCTATGATTAATGTTCTTACGTGGCTGGCTGGCTGACTTTCACATCTGATGCAGCTCAACTACATCACCGACGCCTACGAGATCTTCGCCGCGTCCGCCAACGCGGCAGCCTCGTGCACCCGATCCGTCCTCGGCACCGTCCTCCCGTTCGCCTGCACGCCCATGTTCCGGCGCCTCGGCATCTCGGGGGCGTGCTCCCTGCTCGGCGGGCTCAGCTGTCTGGTGTGCATCATCCCCTTCATCTTCATATGGAAGGGCGAGAGGATCCGTGCCGGGTCGAGGTTCTGCATCGCGCTGCGGGATAGGAAGCTGGAGATGGAGCGACGGGTTGAGGAGCAGAGGGACATGGGGGAGAGGGCTTGTGATGGTGGAGGCGGCGTCGTTGGACAGCGGAGCAAGGAGGAAGTATGAATGTCTGGAATGGCTTTGCGTTCACAGGCTCTGTTGGGTTCAAATGATACGCCCGAGCGATGGCCGGAGTTCTGGAAGTGAGCAGCGCTGGAGTTTGGTTGATAACAACAGTATGTCCACAGGGCCATAGATTGAATTCAATAACTTCCAAGGTTGCCTCTAGCTGAAGAAGATTATAGTGCACATCTAACAACGGGGACTCTTTCTACGACGAGCTTCGAACCTGCGGTAATTAGCGTGGTTTCATTTCTAATCCCCGTACATATAAAACGTATGTGGTGCCTTCATACAGTGGTAAACGTCCAAGACCCACTGGCAATGTTTATCTATTTTCTTAAAAAAAAGAAAAAGAAAACTCAATGCTAATAACAGTGCAGAGAGCATAGAATACGTGGGAACATGGCCTCAGCCTCGTGCCGCACAGACAATTTTGAAGGCTAGGAGGATGGAGTACGTATATTCATGACCGTCCTACTAATACAACCCGTAGGCACTGCCCAGGTGCTGAACCAAGACCTGAGGCTCCCGGACATGTATAGAGAATCATTGTCTGCTGATAGTCAGGCTTTTACTGAAAGCTTTATCCCGACAATTGGTCTGATCCGACTTGTAGAAGCACGTGTCGAGATGCGCTAGAAGAATGCCCTATCCAAAGGTCTTGCGCTGGGCCGTGAAGGATGACTAGTAAACCGCGTAAGCCAGGCTCGGTCTGCAGCGGTTATGTGAGGCGGTCGCAGGTTATTCAACTGGTCCCTTAGCTGCCGAATCGTCGGCCGGTCAGAAGGAAGAACGGACAGACACCGAGACACCAGGTCGCAAAGGTCGTTGCCATATTGGCTTGTATAGCGAATCGACTTGATAGGATGCCCATAAGTCCACCGGGTACCAGCTTCGCGATCCCCAGGCACGGCCATGACGGGTTTCAAAGGGTTTTGACACGTCATGCAACACCATACGATCTAGATTGTATTCTGGTTAGCAAGTGGCTCAAGGCTGTGGCATCACAAGATTCCACGCCTGTAACCTACCATGCCTATCTGCCACACATTCGACCATTCTCCATAGTGACCGGCAACTGTGTTGCGGTTAAAGATTTCACTTATCACCGGGGGGCCGGTAAACGGGTCTGTGTACTGGCTGACTCTGTCCCATTCCGACGTGAATTGCTCCTATATCCGAGAATGATTAGGCATCTCCGTGATCCATGGAGCGGACTTGACGACCACTCTGCCTGACAACCTTCTAGCAGCTTACCGGCAAAAAATAGCTATCCTTCCCACGAACCCGTGTTCTCCAAAGTTCGAATGCATCGAGTGCACTGTAAGGCGGTCTATTCAGTAGTGTCTGCATAGTATTTGAAGGTCCTCCTCTAGTCTGGTTCGCTGTGATCGCCAGACCAAAGTCCGCTGCCTGCCATCATCTACATTTAGTCTTCTTTCACGGCGCTGGGGTGTACGTGGAATGCGGAGTTGACTGTCGCCCAACCAATGGTGTCGGATGGTAGTGCCGAGATGTTGAGAGTCAAGGCAAGAGACGATAGAGCACTTACTTTGAAAACAGGAATCCCCCGATGCGCATCATTTGGATCGAATACGAGGACGTTTTGTGGTTCGAGATCGAAATGAACAAGGTCATGTCTATAATTTCCTGGATTGCCTGGCACTCTGGTGTCTGTTAACTACCTGCCACGAGCTTCGAAGATAACGTAACCCGGAACACCCAAAAAGATGATGGAAGAGGAGCAGAGGAAGGGAGATTTGCATACGGAAGATCCTCATTCAGCAGCCCGCCAAATTCAGGGTGGACGGAAGTTATTTGTGGAGGTGCTTGTTGTCTTGGAGGATATGTCATTGATATGGCCGCCATGGCCACTAAAGATCTGATGCGTCAGTACTAATCCATCCGAGCCTGGGCAGGGGAAAGGTATAAGGGTTAATTTAGAGAAAAAGGGAAACATGAACACGAAGGGTTGAAATGCAGCCAAGACTCACGGCAGTGAAATATTTGCCAAACAACGGCCCTAGGTATGAGTTCTTCTCTGGGCTCAACCCTGAATGGATTTGCCGTCGTTCGGCGCGGGCGGGTATCCTCTCTAAAGATATAGCGACCAACCTTACAAAGGAACGAGTATAAATCGCCTCTTTTAGCCTCTTCTGTAATTATCGTCGTCGGGTCGTTGTCAACAGGAGATCCTATCGCGGGGCCGAAGAAGTTTTGAAGAGAGAAGCGTTGTACGATGTGCTCTGCTCGGCCCAAGTCCTAAAGGGGGAAAGGGGGGAAGAGTCGTCAGCGAGTCTTATGACCGACGCCGGAAGTGTGCATAGAGTGCTATGGATGGACTGAACTGGGTATATGACAGTGTGTCTCAACTCACGATAAGGACGCTTTTTTCTCTTGTCAGTGCAGCTTGGGCCCGATTATTGTTAGGGTTCGAAATATTCGGTATTGCCCATTTGATCACTGATCTCTTGATCCTGTCGGGAGCACCAGAAGCCCTCCACTCCCATAAAGTGGCAATCCCCTGTCCTGCATTTCGACGTCAGTGTCAATTTCGTGAGACTTGAGCTTTCGGGAGTAGTCATGATCAAATTGAATAGTGCATCTTGAGGTATGAAGGATCAGGTATTACACCTCATTTCTAGATATTACGCACCACCCATACCGAGAGTTTTGATGACTGTGAGAGAACTCATTAATTTATGACTCCGAGAAAAAAGGCTTCACACATAACTAGAATGATTACTGACATTTGAGTCGGTTTCCATGGTCTCTCTGCAGGTTTCTAAAATTGGCAAGGGCCTGGTTGAGATCATTTGGATCCCTGAGTTCTGCGATGTCTCGAATATTAGGGGTGGGGTTCTCTACTAAATTGAACTCCTCTTGGATGATCTGGCGGTAGAGTCTGTCCCAGAGTAAAGTATTGTTGCTGGCTGTATCATATGCTGTTGTTATTTGATATTGCTGCAGTGGTACGGGGCGATTCCTTATTCGTTCTTGAATTCTCGGATTTCTTATATTGAAGGTTTCACCCTGTCTGTAGCACTCGAACCGTACGCCACTTGATTTCTGGCTTCTAAGTAGAGCGACCAGCTGCACCTGGTTCTGATCCATGATAATATTAGCCTAGTCACTTAAACGCATTCACAAGGCATAATTGTTAGAAGCGAATCCTGAATCACGAGAGAAAATTATGGTTATGCCGCTATTAGTAAATGAGGCCTTTGGTGACGGTGAGTCCCAGTATTTGCAATTGTGTAGACAAAGGAATGTGTGTTTGAAATCCCGATCCATCGCCGCAAACGTCTGCTACCTGGTGGACTTCGTCAAACACGTGGCTGAGCTTCTCCGTCTTTACAATCATCCGGCACTTGCAACCCAGGTAAATGCTCTATTGTGATCCCTAAAATAAGTCGGTGGACCGGTCTACATACATCCCTACTAACGCATACATATTTCCCACTAAAAAGGTCTATTTTTAATATACTTTATTTAACTCTATAAAAATCTTATAATAATAAATTTACTAATATTAAATACTAGATTTTTTATTTATTATAGAAAAAAATTAAATAACTAATAAATATTATTATAAATTAAAAATAAATTATTAAATTTTAATATTTTCTTTTTTAATTAAATAATTAATAATTAATTAAGAAATTAATTAAGATATTAAATTTTAATTTTAATTTTTATTACATATAATAATTATTAATTTCTATTATAAAACTATATATTATTATAATATTTATCTATATTTTAAATACTTTTATTTATAAGAATTTATTAGAATTAATTATTAAAGATTTAAGAAAAATAAAAGTAGGGAATTTATCCTACTTTTCTTAAATTCTTAATAATTAATTCTATTAACTTTCTATAAATAGAAACGTTTTAAATTTTAAATTTTAAATTTTAATAGATTTTCTATATATAATAAATAGTATATATTATTAATAAGCTAATCTTTAAAACATATATTATATTTCGTCCCTTTAGTACCCTACTTATTTACTTCTAACTTAGTAGTAGAACTAAAAATATAAATAGTCTAGTCTATATATTATTAATAAGTATTTTCTTATAATAATTTTAAGTTTATAAAAATCTTTCTTATATTTAGTAAAGAAACTTTTAAAAGAAATTTCTAGTTTTAATAATTCTTTTAAAAATATTAACGTATTTTTTTTTTATATATAAAGTATTTTTAAATATAAATAGAATATAAAGATTTAAATAAAGTAATTTATTTTTATAAACTATTTTAATATATTTAATTATTAATTAAAATATAAATCTTATATTATTTAATTTAATATTATTAATATTAATACTTATAAAATAACTTTGAATTTATTATATATAATTAATATAAACTAATATTATGTATTTAATATAGATTTTTAGAATTTATGTAGAATTAATAATAATATATTATATATACAAGAAATGATGTGCGTTGGTGGGGTTGTGTGTAGACCGGTCCACCGACTTAGCCGACGGTTCAAAATATGAACGGTTATAGATTGTTCAAGATGCATTTTGCTTTTCTTTTCAGAACGGCTGGACCTATGGTCGTTCATCATTGTATTAAGGCACTGCACGCGACGTTCCATGTCAGATTGATTTACAACGGAACCAGGTGTGTGAGATTCAACACTTGCCTCGTCTGACTTTCAGTGATTTACGGTAACTTAGCCATTAATCGCAGTTATCCTACGGTTATCCAATAATTGTATTATACGCACTGCCCCTAACACCAGAAATTTCTAACATAGCCTGAAAGATACCACTGAGGCCCTAGTGGCGATTTTAAATCGCTGCGACGGCATAGTAGTACATTCCATGCATCCGCCGTGACTCATTTGCCCATATGTACACCTCCGCAGCTCCAATTGGGGTTGCCTTGTATGACAGGCAGGACAAAGGCCTTGCCTATACCTACTAACTATGTACCTAGGTAGTAGGTACCTACATCCCCAATTTGGGAGCCATTTCCGTCATCGATTCCAATACCATCTCTTGCTGTCCAGATGTCCGCTCTTATGAAATCGCTGAATACAAAAATATTTTTAGAGCCACCTGTACCACAGACTCAAGCCCAGAAACGCAGGCAAATATAGTATTAGACCACCGCGGAATACGCAGGTCCTGCATCATCACCGTTTTGGCGACAGCTATCACTGCGGCAACCGATAGCACTTGAGTGTTAGGAACGCACACTTGTCTGCATCCTTCTGGATCACGCACGGATACCTAGATAGACTTGAACAAGCATCATGAAGATTCAACATACCAAAAATGAACACGCTCGATGCAGCCAACTGAGCTCCAGGACTGCGACCTCGCCGGAGTTCGGAGCAGGAACACTTAAGTGCTCTGCAGTAGTAGCTAATGGTAGGGTTTGAAATAAAGCTTTACCTTGTGATCGGATTCACATTAAAATACCAATCATTGCACGTCTTCAAAGCTAATGGATATGACTCTGAGATTGATGCTCACTGACTCAAGAAGAAAAGAAAACACCTTGTGTAAGTATTCCCAAGCATTCTCATCCTTGTGCAAACGCTACCTGAGCCACAATCATTGCTCTTTACCAACGAAAAAAAAAAAAAAAAACGAAAAAATGTTAGAGACTCTCTCTAACATGAGTTTCTGGCAAATCTTGGTACGAGGTAGCCATCTGGTTCCCAACTGCAAGAGGGACATCGTCCTCGGGGCTTCTTGAAGCGAGCCACCGACTGTTTTCATTCCTGTTATTAGTTCTGAGCCAAATGGCCTGTTCTGTAACAATATTTCCATTACGTAACAATATGAACGAATCGTGACCATTTACGAGATTCTCTGTACGGCAGCTTGAATTTACACCTGCACGTGTTTAACGTTTTAAAGTTAAGTTTAACCTCACTGGGCAGACGGCTCCACGCGGTACTCATCCTGTTCTCTCAGGGGACAGGCATCAATGAGCAGGTGCCTAGCCACTTCTGTACCGGCATGACTCAGGCTGACAGGTTCATTGTTTTCTTGATTAAGTTCAGATGGATAGATTGAGTTCAGCGAGATCGTTGATCCAAGCCCCCCTGAAAAGCTTGGTTGTCTCCACCTCAGGCTCTTGGGCTACAGCATCTATATCGAGCCTCAAAGCCCTGCCCTCTGGCATGTGTCCCGTTTTGGTAATTCCATTCGAGCATACACAACACCACTTTGCCATTTTGGAGCATCAGTTAGGTATTTATCTGGCTATCTGAAATATGGGCTCTCTCAGATACTCAATACAGGAATGGGTAGACCCCGAGTATTATTCCAAGGGCAGTGAGATTCTCGGGAGTTCATAGCGTTTTTACTTAGGAACACTGCACGCGTGATTGGAAAAGTTGAATGCCGTGTATCAGACGTTAGCCGGTCGTTCGTATTGAGTTATCAGGCGAGGGGGATCGTCGCAGCAAACCGATGGATCAGATCCACACCCAAATCCCTCACCGCAGTGCCATGACTAGTGAGCTTGGGGATGTGTCTTTCTTCCCCGTTTACACCCAAAGGTACATGACCGGGCACCGGCAATCCCGACGCTGAGTCATTGTCAGTGGACTCCGCTCAACTATTGTTAACATTTGAGGAGATCCCATCTCGCTTGATTGTGCCAAGACAAGTTTGCAGATGACCACGTGGGCGAGATTAACGACGGGGAGCAGCTTCGAAGCTTGTTCTGCTGTGATCTAGACTCCCGACCCCACGGGTGCCCCACGCTGAGCGTCGGTGGCGTGGACTGGCCGCGGCGGCATGCAGATCCCTGTAAATTCGAGCAGGTACGACCACGCATCAGCTCGGGACTTGCCGAACGAAAGCTTGTTTGACGACAGGATTTGAGGTCGCGTGGAATTACAGGGTCTTCTGCACGCCCTTCGCCTCCTGCGTAGGCTCTGATGAAGAATTATTGGGCATGCCCCGATACGAAATACAACAAAGGCCCGATAAACAGAGAAAGAAGTGCATTTGAATTAAAATCGATTATGCCGTCCCAGTAAATGTGACAGGAAGTATGTCTAGAAGAAAACTACCTAGGTACACCAAGTTGCACTACGATACTGTCAAGTACGGGTACTCAAAGCCATTCGAACTCTAATCATGATCATTTCCGACCCCAGTATCTAACCCATTAGTTGGCCTCGGATCCTTCGGCGCCGCACTTCTCCTCGCAGTAGTAGTCGAACTGGAACAAAGCATTAATCAGCGATTCATCCTGCTTCACAGAAAGTTGGGCTACGACGTACCTCATCGCCACCAATGTGCCAGCCGTTGGAAATGCACTGGAGACCATCGAAGGTGCAATCAGGGCACTTGTCCCATTGTTCGTTGCCAGTGTTACGGGCCTTGTACATGGTGCAGGCGCACTTGGTAGCCGCAGCGTCGATCTCGTACTGCGTGTAGGAGCCGTAGGCTAGACCATAAGGCGTGCCGTTGCCAGTGCTGCCGTAAGATCTGTTCTGGACGCAGACAGCCGCGCTGTGGAGCTTTGCAAACGCACTGTCGTCGGGTCAGTATGCTGGTGGGCGTTAATGAAGATCATGTGGAGGCGATAACATACACGGTGGTCAGAACCGCCATGGTAGCGAGCGTGGAGATCTGCATCTTGGTTGAATGTTGGGGGGAAAAGCCGTGTACTGGATGAAGACGAAAAATAGAGTCAAGAGGAATGAGTGAGGTTGGAAAGATGATTTCGCAGGTGGCTAGAGATGAGTTGAAATGGATGGGAGGCCAATACAATTAAATCTTCGACTTGAGAAACAAGAAGTGCACATGTCAGACCAAGAAGTTGAAGGCTGAGCTTGTTGATAATGATATCTCGTAACAAACTTGTACTGTTTCCTCACCATTGAGGTGTGCACAGTCTTTTAGATACGATGTATCATTTTACTTATCCCTCACGACGTCGCACTCCGCAATCTTAGTGCCTTTTGCGGATGTTTTTTTCGACATGCTGTTTCGCTGGAAATTTGCGAATCCTTTATCTGGGGGAAGTTGACCGACCGCTCAGTCTTCCCGTGACGTTCGCTGAGTCGTGTGGTATCAATTGATGGGGCCGCTAACGTCAATTCAGAAGTTCAGAACGGTGACACAAACTGGAGGACAACTTCCTGGGTCGAATCACAATGACAACATGCCACACAGGTTCTCTTGAATGCCTTTTTTTAGATATCACCCCAGAATAAAGAACGGATACCCCTGAATGTACTGGGTACGGACCCCAAATCTGCCTATGTTGGCCCACCCAATGACAAGGTTCGGAGTGGGCCATTGTGCGGGAACATTGCATTGGTGCTTGCCGGTAAGGTGCTCGTCTAGTCACCTATCGTTGGATGAAGAATGTAGCATCGCCAAAGGCTCAGATTAGAGAAGGGGGCTCGAGAGGGAGTGCCAAGATGCTGATCATTGACGTGATTGTTCAAGCTTATCTCATGACCCACAGTATGAAGGCGCCATGTATCTCCTCGGACCTATACGGAATAGAAGCGAAACCAGTTGTCTCATGACTTGGAAAACAACAAGTTGAGGTGCTCTTCCGTGTTGTATAAAGGCCCTCTAGATTTCCACTGGATGGGATCTAGTTCTCCTGAAGTCATCCCTCATCCTCAACTACCCATTCTCCTCTGCTTATATACTCTGGTCTTCCTGGTCAAAATGGTCTCTGTTCGCCTGCTCACCCTCATCTCGGCCGTCGCTGCTGCAGTCAGCGCCGCTCCGGCCCCCATTATCGACGAGCGCGATGTCGCCCTCGATAGCCTCAACGGTACCGAGTCCATCGACCGAGACCTCCGCAATGGAGAGATGATTGTTTTTGGAGCCGGTGGCCGCAGTGAGTTAGCCTTGAAAGGTCTCTGGTATTCAGTCTTGCTGATTTCCCACGTGCGATCTAGCTGCCATTATTACGGACGCTACCTGGAAACTTCTCCTGAAGGCTGAGGGCATCGCCGCCGAGACTCCTGAGATTGACTGGGACTTCATCAAGTCTGGCGAGGGCCTTGCTGAAACTCCTGTCAACCACACTGACCTCGACCTCGGAAAGCGTGGCTGCGAGTCCGACTTCCAGTACGTTGTCGACACGCAGCAACGCTTCGTCGACTGGGACGTGCAGATGTCCCCCGTCGTCATCGGTGTCGGCAGCAAGGGTATCGACATCACCATTTCCAAGTCCTACGCGATATCCAACGGCATTACAGTTGGTGGCTCCTATGACTTCAGCAAGCTGGAGGCCAGCCTCGGCGCCACCTTCAAGGTTGACTACACGAAGACTTGGACCACCACCCAGGGCTACCTCATCCGCGGCACTGTCGATGACGGCTACACCGGTGTTGTTATCACTCGCCCCTGGACCAACCGGAAGTACGGCCGTACTTTCCAGGGCTGCCCTGGTTCTCTCAAGCAGACCGGTACCTTTATGGCTGACTCTCATGAGGAGGGCTCCTACGAGGGTGTCTCCTGGGTTGGTGGTGCCATTACTGCCTGCATCAAGAAGCAGAGCTCCATCCCCCTGACTCGCTGCAACGGTGGTGGCCAATTCCGCTAAAGGGCTGTGAATTTATTCAAAAGCCCCGGGCTTGACGAGGCATTCCATGCCAGCGTTCCTTTTTTCTTTTGACCTACAACGGTGTAATCCACCAAGTTTATCGCGGAGAAAGGGCGGCGTGCCATGACCTCAGGAACATCGGGAAATTTGGGAACATTAGGACTGGGAATGTGGGAATGTGGCAATCATGTCGATTCAGATGCTGTGAACGTTTATTCTACTTTATTTAATTTCTGTGCTATGGAGACATAGCGATAGTAATTGCCATTATCGCAAGCGAAATTCCTGTTCCTGTCAGCGTTTATCGAGAAAATCATGCCTCGTGCCTAGATTGATCGTCTTTCCCCTGTGCGATTGGTTTCGTGAGCTCTCAACTGTGCTGGCCATATCCCAAGAGATCACTGCTACCACAAAATTAGTACCAAGGAAAGAAAGCTTGACGGGTGAATGTACGATAATAATCATCCAGAACCATACATTTGGTCGATTTGGTACTGTGATCAAAGGTGCTTATCATGCTTGGCCGAGGAACGTCCTCGATGCATTCAATGTCACTCAGCGCTGGGCGGCGCGGGGCAATGAGGCAACATTTCCATCGCCTCAACCTGTGGCTAGAAAGGTGCACCGGATTAATGCATTTTTTGTGGCATTCGGTTGTGGAAGCTCGTCAGCCCTAGGGTACATCGAATCCAGTGGGCTTCAGTTCAAGCACATGGAGCACATTCTCGGGTTTGTTAAACCAGACATATGGTATGATAAGCTATCATATGGCATGTTCATAGATCCAACCAATGTGAAATTCCAAAATATCACTTGGTCAGAAGACCATACTGAATAAATGTTTGGAAGCAAACATGCCAGGGGCAGCACCAACACAGCCTGGTGACCGGGGAGTAGAAAAGACAACATTAGACTTGACTCAGCATTGCTAAGCACAGTACATACATAGAGCTCTATTTATCGCTTTTATGTTTTGATTTGAGATAGGAATTTGATGAAGCCCAGTTGCGCCAGGAGCCCACGGACTGTGACATGGGGGCCAACAAGGAGTCCACACATCCGAGGGTCGTACTGCAACGCGAAGGCGGCACGAAGGCCAGGAGACAATCGAGGAAAAACCAGGGTTTCAAGATCGACTCTGAGGGAGACCTGCATGATTGTGCCGTAGGTAGGCAAGCAGCAAGCACCCTTGAACTGCTTTTGTAGAAGGCACCAGCCAAGGTTGTTTGGTTGAGACACATTAGTATTTGAAAACGCCTGTGCTTTGAGAAATCCATCCGTCGTGAATTTATCTGCTCATGGAAGCTCTACATTGACGACAAATACTCATCATTACTTGATTCTGTAAAATGCGGCAAAGGTTTGCGTTACCACTTGTGGAACTCGACCTCGGGATTCATTCAGGCACGCGTCTCGAAAGGTCTGTTTGAGGGGTCAATTGCCTAGTGAGTACCTTGCAGCTTACCTCAACACATAAAGTTGAGAAGGGAGAAAAAGTTTATTTGAGTATATTGTCTACCCTAGGGTATGCATGTTGTCCAACCCTCTATGTTGAAGTTAGCGGAAGCAGTTTGTCGTACTTCAGCCGAGAGCCTCCGCCAGCGGTGTCGTTCTCGGAGCCGGTGGGAGACCGAAGAATCTCGTCGCCCAAGCCCTGTCGGTATCAGTCAAACCAGCAGGTTTTAGGAAGTCTAAACTTGTGCGGAGCTCCTGAAGCGTCGGCCGGTCGCTGGGCCTGACTGCTAGGCACTTAGCCACCAGCCCGCAGAGCCCATCTCCGTATACATCCCTGTATATTTGCTGCTCAACTTCGCTCCCATACGTCCAAATGTTCTGGATCTGTGCGTCCTGCGCGGCCATAGGTGGAAAGTAAGGAAGTCTGACGGTCATGCAGCAGAATATAAGCTTTTCCGTGTTGTCAGCAAACATGTCGTTTCGTGACTTGCCCTGTACTAATGCTCACCATTCCCATTTGCCAAATATTTGACCAGTCACTGTAGTTGCCAGCAGAAGTGGTGGGATCAAGAATTATGCTTATTGGGGTTGTTCGGTAGTCTTGTGAGAATGGGTCCTGCTGTACTCTCACCTTGTCCCAGTCTGTGGTGAATTGCTCCTGCATCCTAGCGTCAATACTGTTGCTACAGATTTGTAAGGCGGAAATTTCGCCATTATCCAACTCTCGATTTAGTACTTACCGGTACATTCCAACCATCCTTTCCTAAAACTCGATTGCCCCAGATCTCAACTTTCTGCGCCATGTTGTATGGGGGGCCTGCTCTTGGGATGTCGCTGCGGGTCTCATCAGGTGTGTGCGAGAGGCCGAAGTCTGCTACCTAAGGATTCCCTGGTCAGCTGTGATACATTTACACATGTCACCAATATACTACTTAAAATGGCTCTGTCTCGATGAGAATGAGTTCTCTCTTGATCGCCAAAAGCGCCAATGAAAGTCCATAAACAACTCTTATCACGCCTTCCCTTCTTTCAAGTTTTTACAAGTATAATGTCTCAGGGGACCTGCAAGACCTGCAAGGGGGAAACTCACTTGGAAGAAAGGAATTGGTCGACGGTCTTCTTCGTCCAGCATGAAAACGTTCTGATGGTCCATATCGAAATGAACAATATCGCGCTTGTTCACATGTGCAGCAGGCGCGGGAATCTGCTCCTCCATCAATGGGCCGATTTCGGCAGCCGTGCTATTCATCGCTGGCCCAACCTGCGACCTTGGTGGATATGCCATTGAGATGCACGCCGTGAGCACTAGTAATTAATGTGAGCTTCATAGAGGGGCCTATTGACATGTGAATGTTTTTTAAAAAGAACCAAACGTAGAGGCGGTACAAAAGTCAGGAGTGCACAGGAAGGATAAGGAATTGGACATGAAGTGAGCAGCAATCACTTACCGCCGTCAAAAATCTTCCAAACGACCGCTTTGGGCACCCTTTCATCGTCGTCCTCAACGTGATATCCACTCTGCCAGTGTGGCTGAGGCCTGCTGCGTTCCCGAAAGACGTAACGGCCGACTTTGTTGAGTAGGAAATGCAAGTCGCCTCTTCTTGCAAACTCAGTGATCAGAATTCTTGGGTCGTTGTCCAAGTTCTGGCCCTGTTGGCCCAGGAAATTTCCAACGTGGAAGCGCTGAATGATGTGCCTTGCCCGTGCCAGTTCCTACTTGGGTCCGAAAACAGTCAGCCACGGCGATGCACAGTCAGTGTCACGAGGTTGTTAGGTTCATGAAACAGACAAACTTCACTTACTATGGTTTTGGATCTCTCTCTAGTCATCGAGTCCTGAGCCCGCGTGTCTCCAGGATCGTTTGTATTGACCAACAAAGTTTTAACGACTGATCGCCCACGTCTGACGCCATTGGCGTCCCTCCACCGCCATAGAGAAGCAATCCCAAATCCTGTATCAGCATGTGAGCGGCTGGCTCACAAACTTTGAATTTCGTCTAATTGGTCCCATATCGATCTCCTCGAAAGTACAAAGTATTTAGCAACGGAGACAATATACGTACCACCAATTCCCAGGGTTTTCACGACTAATTGGTAATATGAGCTCAAGCTTCCAGCACCGAGAAGGCAAACACACCGGGGAAATTTACTTACATTCAAGATTGTTTCCGAACTGAGTCTTAAGCTGTTGTAAATCGGTCAAGGCCGCCGCCATATCGTTTAGGTCTTGTCTTGCCGCTACCTGTACAACATCGAATCGCGTTCTGCCGTCTCGATCGAACAAAGTGTCTCGAATACGGGCGGCTCTGGTCGCTCTCAATGCCTGATTATTTGCTACATTGTACGCGTCTACAATAACTGCCTGGGGTACCCGCCAGGCTCGGATTGCCGCCGCGGTTCGTGCATCAGACGGGTCGAACTCCTCACCTCGCCTGTAGAAGTCGAAGCACGTCCCGTAATAGCGCTGGTCCCTACGCAATTGGGCTGCCGACATTGTGAATTGCCAGATCAGGACACTGGAATGAAATCAGATGATTTTCCTCTTACGAGATCATCGTTATGAGGATATCGTAGACATGAACCTATACAGGTAGCTATTAGGTGTAGGGCCCGCGGGATAAAGTTTCTCAGCAGAAAATGACAAAGGATGGCACCACACCGATTCTTAGTCCGTCGCCGCAAACGTCTGCCGTCGATCACAATGATGTGATGTCAGTCTAGATATTTCAGGCAGCTTTTTGAAAGATGCTTTCGCATCGAGTCGTCTCACGCTACACCATGGCGCTACACCATTAGCATTGTGTTCATGATTTAGGGATGTATGGACGCGGCTGACTATGAGCATGGTTGAGGAGGAGAAAAGGACGGGTACGGGTGCAAACTCACATCTAACAAGTCATGGACCTCAGAAGAACGGAATGTTGAAATCTGCGTTTCTACTGAGCTTCGAGCATAATTTCTCCAGACGACTCTCGATAGACTCCAACTTTTCATACAATGAGACGGGTTGACACACACCTTGCGAAGACGCAAGTACCCAGGGACCCGAGGGCTGGCAAATTCTTGGGGACAAAGGCTCCAATAGCTTCAGCTCAACATCATTAGAAGGCTGCGAACTCTCTACAATCCATTATTCCACCTTGGAATGCCCAGCTGCGCGACCATTTACGTGCCCGTTGGTGCGACCATTCGCCTTCATCCCGTTCAACATCCCATTCACCGATCCGTTTGCACTCCCTTTCTTCCAATTACCATTCCCCTCTCCAGGGCCCGCAGTGAACTGTAGTCCTTTTGCGATAGACCCAATTGTGCCGAACTTCGCAAGCAAGGACTCGGATATGTACCCCTTTCGCTCGTTCCAGGGGTCCACCCCAGCCTTCCTCGGCAACTTGTCCTGCGCGACCACGAAATAAGTGGACTTCATGCTGATGATCGGCTCGGCCTTCATCGCCTCCCTGTTCTGAACAACTGGCCTCACGGCGACAGCGCCTATCCTCCTCATGTGGTGGATGACCCGCATCAGCAGCCGCAGGCACGCGTCGCTTCCCAGCGTCCAGCTCATGTCCGTGTAGCCGATGACCATAGCCATGTTGGGTACGCCCTCGAGCATGAAGTTGCGCCAGGCAAACCGTTCCGCGATATTGAAGTGCTGCCCGTCGACGGTGCAGTCGACGCCGCCGAGTATCAGGAGCTTGAGTCCCGTCGCCGTGACGATAATATCGGCGTTGATGGTCTTGCCTGACTCGGTCTTGATCCCGGACTCAGTCACCGTGTCGATGTGGTCAGTGACTACCTCACAATTGCCGCCCCGCAGCGCGTCGTAGAAGTCGCCGTCTGGGCAAACGCATAGCCGCTGCGTCCATGGGGCGTATCTCGGGGTGAAGTGCGGGTCGACGGGGATTCCTGAGCCCTTAAGCTCCCTTGCCATTGCCCTGATAAGCATCTTCCTTGCGAATTGTGGGAAAGTGAAACAGAAAGTCTTGAGGATCGTCTGGAAGAGGACATCCTTCCAGAAGTTGATCGTGTCGGCCATTCTCTTCGGCAGTAACTTGCGTAGCGCAAATATGTGACCCGGAGCCGATGGCAGTGGCATCACGTAGCTCGGACTCCGTTGAAGCATTGTAACCTTCGCTGCTGTTTTCGCAAGTACTGGCAGAATTGTGATGGTAGTCGCACCAGAGCCGATGATTACCACTTTCTTCCCAGAATAGTCGAGATCTTCGGGCCAGAATTGAGGGTGGACAACGGTGCCTTTGAAGTTTGATATCCCCGGAATTTCAGCTTGCAAGGGTGTCTTGTAGTCGTAATATCCGCTGCATGTGAGGACATATTGGGTTCGGAATTCTTTCCTCTCCTCGCCATCGCCCACCTCTGCTTCGACAGTCCATCGGTTCTCAGCCGACGACCAGTGAGCACCCACGACTCTGTGCTCGAACTGAATGTGCTTGTCGATACCCGCATACTCAACAGATTCTTGGAGGTATTTCTGTATCGTAGCCCCATCGGCAATTTCTTTCTCCTCGCTCCATGGCCGCCATCTGAAGCCAAAGCCCGTGAGATAAGAATCAGAGCGGAGGCCGGGGTATTTGAAGAAGTCCCAAGTGCCGCCAATCGTGTCCCGGGCCTCGAGTATGGTGTACTTGGCATTGGGAAATTCTGTCTGGACCTTGTGGGCGGCGTTTATGCCCGATGCACCAGCACCTATTATGATGAAGTCGTAGTCCTCCATCGCTAATAGTGCCGCGGGGTGTGCTCCTTATTGTGGATCGATATTGGAGTGATGTCAGTAGACCTGGGATGTGGCGACTTTTTTGAAGACTGGCGAGAGGTGGACTGGAGGGGGCCGGCCGAACCAGGTGGGGAAAATCCAGAGGTCCGACTCCTGTGTGCACCCTCTTGTAGGAGGAGGAGGAGCAAAGCGTAGTTGATCTGTCAAATGGCCTTTCCTAAAGGTGGCCACAGAGACTGCGCAAAATGCCCAGCTGAGAAAACCGAGTGGGGTTATGAACAGCATTGCGGTTAGGGTGGAAAAAGTTCCTCAGTCAGGAGCGGCCACTCTGGTATTTCATTGACGTCGGTACGGAAAGAACTAACTGGCGTCAATCTCACATGAGCACCGACCACTCGTTTCACTTGCCCAACTCAGGGCCACATGGGAAAAACTGGGAGAGACATGAGACGGTACTCGGTTACATTCCGGGCCCGCAGGCAGGTGTTGGGATGTTTCTAGGAGGGTAAAACGAAGCGATTCGTCCTACTCCAATGCGATTGGGTGCCCATGTCCCAAGAAGCTCAACTAGGGATGATTAAGATCGCCTGTTACTTACCCACTGCCCACGCAAACATTTGGGGTCAAGACATGACTTGGCAGCTCCGGTGGCTGCATGCCGAGGCTTATTATGAACCAGATCTTGTGACAATCGATCCGCCGGCAGCGCTAGTGATTTACCCGTCATGGGTTAGCCCTGCTCTGTACAACCTGAAGATTCTCGAAGCACTCCAGTCCAACTATTCCATGCCGTCACCTTGGGGTAGTTAAGCTTTCTACCCATCACGAGGCAAATATGCATGTTCACCTTCGGACGATAGACAAAATGTAAGACGACGCTGTTGATACCTATCAACATGGCTTCATGCCACCTGATATCTAGGTACTTAGGTTCTGGGATGGAACTAAGGTTGTTGGGGAATCCACCAATCTTCCAGATGTCCTCCTGACGTAAATACTAGTAATAGTAAATCTAGATAATGCGCCAGTGATAGCTACGGTGATACATATATGGTTGCCAATAGATGTGCACTTATTAGCCTAGCACCCAAGGGCCCAAGTTTGGATGTTCTCAGTTTTATGACACCTCTTCAACCGCATAGGGAGCGTGCACTGACGTGTCCAAATGTTTAAGGCAGCATCAAAACAACAGAGGCAGTGTGAAAAAACGCCGATAGCGTCAAAAACAACTATAAGGTATAAGCTGACCTAATCTTTTCAATAAGGTAGCACCTGCACGGCTTACAGGATATTCTGACTGATCACTACTAGTAGTAAAATGTACATATTGGGATTATCCCACAATTGCCAGCGACCCTGGGCTGCCCAATCCGTGTTAGACTTGGTTCAAAGGTACCTAGGTACGGAAAAGAACTCATACCGATTAAGGTACCAGAACCCATTAAAAGTAGAAGGAGACAAAGCAGGGGAGACTCTGACCAGGACTACTAGTGATGGATGAATTATTTGTTAGGAGTCGGTGGGGCCAACTGAACCTTGGAAGAGAAGGAAAGAGAACGTCTGATACTCACGGGGAAAACCTTGGAACGTTTCAACCGAATTAGGCCAGTTCTTGATCAAATGCAGATCACTCACACAATACGCCTGTCGCCACATGCAGCAAGTTGTCGGGCCGACTGTTGGTTGCCATGGGTACCTAGGTAGACACTTACATAGCCACCTGTATCACGCCTTCGGGAACAGACATCGTGTCTACAGTTTCCGAACTCTTGCATGCATGAGCCATTTCGACCGCTGGTAAAAACACAAGCATAGGGCTTTCATTTAGGCCAAGCCATCCGCGTGCCTCAGTCAAACCTCGGCACCAAGCGAACGCACTTCGGTCGTTAGGATGGGAAATGGACCTGGATCCGAAATCACATGTAAGAGCGCGTCATTGCCTAGGCGGCCGTCTCGTTCGGAATGAGCATACAGGCATAGCTGTCCGGCCAGAAGAGAGCACCAGGGGCCGGGGTGTGGAGCGGAGCCGGTATACAGAACCTACCAGGGGGAGGGGGGGTCCCTAACATAGGCATATAATCATATCAAAAATCAACATTTAAATAAAATCTAGATATTATAACTAAATACTAGTATAAAACTAATAAAATACTATTATAAATAAAATCTATTAAGGGGTTAATATTATATTAAGTTTTAATATTATATTAAAGAGAATAGAAATTTATACACTCTTAATCGGAAGGTACACATCTATCTACTAATTAAGAAGTATTTTATATAGACTTTTTTTTCTATAAAAAGGTCGGCTAGGGTGAAGGGGGTGAGCCTTAAAGTATAAAGTATAGTAAAGGGTTATAAGTAGGGTTAGTAGGTATAACTTAAGTTCTTAAAGGACTAACCCACCCTATTTATAGCCTTTAAAATTATAAAGAATATTTATTTATTGAAGTTATAAGGACTTTAAGGTTTTATACTTTAATTGGCTGAATAGTAGGGAGGGTGTGTACTTTCTAATTTTAGGTGTGTGAATTTCCATTCTTATATTAAAATCTTTAAATTTATTAATATTAAATTTTATAAGTTAATAAAAAATTAAAATTTCTATATTTCCTTAACTTTATAACTTTATAAACTTTATATATAATAATAATTAAATTAAAAATTAACTAATAAATAGTTAAGTTAAAAATAAAAAAAGAAAACTTAATTTTAATAAAAATTAAACTCTTTTTTTACTTATATATTAAACTTTGAATAATATATTAAAAATATATTTATATTTTAAAAGAATATTAATATTATTTTAAAATGATTATACTATAAATTTAATTTACCCCCCTCCCCCCGGTAGGAAAGATCTCGGTAAACAGAGGGGAGCCTGGAATATCTAGGTAATAGAACACGACATGCAGAATATCAACGGCCAGGAAAAGGATAACATGCATACTTTGGCCGCCAGTACTTTTTCTCCCATTTCGTCTTTGTATTCTAGTCTCTGGCAATCCCGCTTGCCGAGTTCCCGTAGTACTCTTTCCTTGTAAGGGCTGGATCGTTCTAAAGTCACCACTGGCATGAACAAGTCGTTTTGCGATATCCCGGAAATATACTCATCATACTCAGCTGGGAATAATGGATAAAAATCTTAATCAGAGCCCTGGTTCGGCGAACGAGGGTGAGAGCAGTTGGGGGCTGTGGGGTGCAGGACGGACGTGCTCTGCAATGTAATTCCGGGCTGCCCTCCGTTGTGATCGTCGTCCTGATATCGATCCTATGTGTTCGCAGGGACATCTTGATTGTATCGGCGACCGCTTGAACCCAGATTAGCATAGTCTATTTAGTGTTGAGTTTGAGGATGTGAATTGCCCGTCGCAGCGACAACGTTGGAGGAGCGGACGGACCAGCGTTATACACGCACTCTACCCAATCGAACATTCGATACCTGACCTATCGACACTTGAGGTGCAACTTTTCTTCTTTCCCTTTTTCTTTAGGCAACCCTACTTGTAAAATCCACACTATTTGGTGCAAATCTCGAACCCTCGTGCCGTGAAGCTCAAGTGACATCTGAACTGCCTGCCTCGCGGCAGCTGGGATCTGGTTTGGAGCCTATGTCCCGTGTTTACCTAGTGGGGTAAGTGATTTCGTCAAGCCTGAGATAAATGATCAGGCACTGTGCACTGCACATGTGCTGATGCTAATAAGATGCCCTGTTGTAGTGGACCGCAAAGCCAAAGCCCGCGCCGAGCGGGATGTCGAGCTTCGAGTCTTTTGTAAGTTGATGACCGCAGCAGAACGCTCCTCGTCACCCGCGAGCCCTGGATTCTCCAGTCGGCATCCTGGTCTTCTGGACTTGGTTTACAATGCTAACACCGTCTATAGAAGTCGCCCAAACACTGACGATGGCCACCCTCGAATTGTAAGTATACTCTGGTCCCTACTCCGCGATCCCCACATCGTTTCCAGTCTTGGCACATCGCAAATAGGCGGCTAACAGCTGTTCAGTAAAGTCACTATTACCTAAGAACCGACCGCGAGCAGTACGTTTTCTTTTCCCTACTCGAGATCCCTAGTCTATTTAGTCGCGGGCCAGGCATTCGATCGCCCTCTTCGCCGTGCAACAGCAGTGGGTAACACGGAGCTGGGCCACCCACGGGTATTCTTCGCGTATCGCAGAAAGCGGCTGACAAGTATAAACAAAAAAAAAGTTAAAAGGATTGCCGGCGTCAACGATCTCGACCCTCGGGGAGTCATGACAAGGCGGGCCGGCTTACCCCCACTGGCAATGGGGGAACCGATCGCGAGATCAACCATCAACAATCAACAACTTCAGCGTTTTTTTCCTTTACATCAAGATTCTTTTCCCCACCCACAAGCCAGTTGTTCCAACCATCCACAACAGTCAGACATCCATCATCAACAACTAGCAAGACTCTTAACTGCTACAAATTGGGGTGGCTTTTTTTAAGACTGGATATCCACACCAATGAAAACGGAGGATACCTAGGTATATCCATACTACCTACCTACCGTACCGGGAAAACAGGGGCTTCAGCAACAGTTCCTTACTAGAATTAACAGTTATATTTATAACAATAATTCCTCCTTTAATAATAAATAATCCCTAACTTCTAATTAATTAACTAAATAGACTACTTTCTACTTTAAGACTAAAACTATTTAAAAAAGAATTACTTTATAAGTCTTCTTTATATATAAATAAACTTAATATAAAAAGAAAGTTAATTCTTAACTTATCCCTTTATATACTTCTTAATTCCTTACCTCTTCTCCTCTTTTATAAGTAGTAATTTAAAGATTTTATAATATACCTTCCTTAACCTTAACCTCTTTCTACCTTAGGCTATAAGTATATAACTATAATAGGTTAATTAAAAGCTAAAAATTATCCGTTATTAAAGGAGGAATTATTATTAAAAGAATAACTATTAATTTTAAGGGGTATATTAATACCTTATAATAACTATTACTAGTACTTA